TGGCTGGTCCTGACCTAAGGTGATCCTCCCCCCTCCCAACCACCCTTGTTCCCCCTAAAAATTTATTAAAACACCCCTTTAAAAAGAACCTTAATTTGGCCGATTTCAATAATTTTCGATTTGTACCCGCAGCATGCCACCTCTCGGGGTTCCAAACCCCATCCTCAAGGTGGGCCCTAGTGATCTTAATGGGCCAGGCGGCCCATTATTACAGTGTACTGTGTTACTTTTATTTATTTTAAATATTTATACAGCTGCCCATCTTATACCAAACTCTGAGTAGCTCCCAATCAAGAATTAAACAATATAAGTAAAAAAAGACATAAAAACCAAATTGAAGCAATTAATACTCTAAATATTAAAAACAAAAACTTGGCACCAAGTTAAGCTAAATATTTGTCTATTAAAAATATTAAACAATTTAGCCATTGTCCCTGCGGAACAGTATACATTAGCTCCTTCCGTATGCTAATGTATACTGAAGCACTGAAAACTGCCCCAAAGGTGCTTTCTTTCAAAACTGCCCCAAAGATCCTTTCTTTCAAAAGGCAACTGGGCATTCTTATTTTGCTTGAAGATGTTTCACCTCTCATCCAAGAAGCTTCTTCAGTTCTGACTGAATGATGGAGTCATCCTCGTTATGGGAGTATGAATGGATTTCCAGGGAAAAAAAATTGCAGACTACAGGATTCAGGTGATCCTGGGGGGGGGGGGGCACAGATAAACCTCCAAGTGGCCTCAATAATTCTCAGAAAAAGGGCTAATGACCAGATGACTCCAAGAAATATAAATCCTTCCGGTCTTCTCCATTCACTCAGAACTGAAGAAACTTCTTGGATGAGAAGCGAAACGTCTTCAAGCAAAACAAGAAAGTCCAGCAGTCTTTTGAAAGAAAGCACCTTTGGGACAACTGTGACCTGGACGACTGAGAATCTCCATAGACCAGGGGTGTCAAACTCAATTTCATTGAGGGCCGCATCAGCATTGCGGTTGCCCTCAGGGGGGCCAGTTGGGTGCGGCCTACTGGATGGGCGTGGATGGAGTGGGTATGGCCTACTAGGTGGACAAGGCCAGCTCTACATCGTTCGCGTCAAGGATGCCTGTGGGGGCCTGGGCAGGAGTGGGACAGATCTGAGGGTCTCTGGCAGAAGGGGGTGGGACCGGGGCAAGCGCCAAGGCATGATCCATTTCTTCATTCCTCACAAAGGGTGACACCTCCCCAGCATGCACCCAGGGGGCGGGGCCGACACAGCAGGGGCTGGTTCCTCGCTGTTTCTAGACGGCCTTGTGGAGCTAAGACTGAATGTGTTTCAGCATAGATGGCCACCACAAAATTATACATTGGCTCCTGGCCGGCCTGGGCCAGGGGAGCGGGGGCCGTTCCCTCACTGTTTCCAGGATGGCTTCGCGGGCCACATGAAACCACTTCGCGGGCCGCATCCGGCCCCCGGGCCTTGTGTTTGACATGTCTGCCATAGACACTGAAAACTGAATTGCACCATATGCCAATCATATATGAGGATGAATTTGCAACTGCGAGGAGATAGAATAGATAGTCTCCTTCACTCTTTCATCTTTGTGCTTCCCTTTACTTGGCAATTCCTCTGAATTCAGTCACTGGGTGTCCTAAACGCAGAGCTCTCCTTCTGGGAAATTTTCAGTTACCAGGCTTCTGAGATTGCTCACAGCTGGTGTTCACAAATTACTTTCTTTCTTAACATTACTTATGAGGGCAATTTTTTTTTTTTTATCTAACAAAATTAGAGGTGATCAGAATCTCAGAATTTTAAAACGGAACTAAGGAATGTGTCTCCCCAATAATTTGAAAAACATTCATATTTCCTTCTTTAGAATGTATCAGAAAAGCAAAGAGCTTGCGAAACTGATTTGGCTAAAGCTGAACCAGCACTGCTTGCTGCTCAGGAAGCTCTAGACACTCTCAATAAGGTAAAATCCTTTAAGTTTTTAACCAGCAGTTAAAAATGATGTACTCATTTCTAGCGATATGTTCTGTTTCAACGTGACATTGATCAAGCCAGATAAATATACTTCTATTTTTATGAAGGAAGATTGCAGAGACAGAAACGTGGTCTGGAATAATTGATTCCTCTTACAGGAACCATTTTCAAGCCATCAATTGTAAAAGTGCAGAGTTTCTCGTGTTTGAAACTGCAAATAACTTTGAAAATAAATACTTCTCATTCAACAAAACATTTTTTTTTTAAAAAAAACACCAGCCTGAGGTTGTTCTGTGTACCAAGACTCCAAGATCCCTTTTAGGCTGAGCCTCTGCCCTGGAAGGCTTTATCAAGGGGATTGGAGCTACACCAACTACGAAGCCTCTGAAGTACTGCTCCAAAATTCTGTAATTCCAAAACTCCCATAGAAGAGAATATTTGTAGCTCCAGGTTGAACTGTGGGGTCTTTGGTACTCTCTGAGCTTGGTTGTTGGCTTGTAGACATTGTATTACCCAACTAGGTGACATCCAAGCTCAAATTCCACATTACATTATAGCCCAGTGATGGCGAACCTTTTAGAGACTGAGTGCCCAAACTGCAACGCAAAACCCACTTGTGCATCGTCGAGTGCCGGGTGGGTGTGACCAATTGGCTGGGGCGGCCCATTGGGTGGGCGTGGCTGCAGTAGTGGGTGGGACTAAAAAGTTCAATCAATCAATTCCAACTTTGCAAGATCTTTTTTTCCCCCGCGAGAAGTTGAAATTGACTGATTGAACCTTTTTTTTTTTTTTTTGCACATGGCGGTGGAGGCCTAAAGTGAAAAGGTTTTATAAAACCCAGCTGAAGGCCTAGGACTGGGGCGACGGCGCGCGTGCCCACAGAGAGGGCTCTGAGTGCCGCCTCTGGCACCCGTGCCATAGGTTCGCCACCACTGTTATAGCTTGTATTATTCTGCTGCTCTGCTAACACAGATACGTTGTAGCTGATATGGGGTGCTTAATGGGCTTTTTTTCTTAATCATGGAATTTATTATTTCATTGTTAAAAAATTCCTTTCTCTTCTCCCCCATCTTTGGCTGCCTTTTTAGAACAACCTGACAGAGCTGAAGTCTTTTGGATCCCCTCCAGAAGCAGTGGTTAATGTAACAGCAGCAGTTTTGATTCTGACTGCTCCAGGTGGCAAGATACCAAAAGACAGAAGTTGGAAAGCAGCAAAATCCATGATGGGCAAAGTAGATGCTTTCCTGGATGCCCTGAAGAAATATGACAAAGAACACATTCCAGAACCTTGCTTGAAAGCTTTTAAGTAAGAAGCATCTACACATATATGTTCTTACACTGACATAAATTGAAATGGCAGGTCATGCATTGGATCAGATGGGGGAGAGGGAGGAGAGAGAGAGAGAGAGAGAGAGAGAGAGAGAGAGAGAGAGAGAGAGAGAGAGAGATATTTCCACTTAGAGCCTTCTTATCTGAGGCTCGCTGTCACCACCTTCAAAAATAAAAGTGAGGTAAATGCCAATAATTATGGCTGAGCACAGATTCTGAATACAAAAGATTCCGGGGTTTCCAAACATGTCTGGGAATTCTTCCCTGAAACCGTGAGAAGCCTGTGTTAATTATTGCCAGCACTACTGAGGTTTGAGGGCATTTGTGTTGTCCTTGTCTTGGGGTGAGGCTGTATCTTTGATAATGATCTATGATAATTCGCCGTGGCCATCTCACCATAGGACAACTCACTGCGGGACAAGAGTTACACTAATATCAAAGAAATGGTGGAATAGAATCATCATAACCAGAACGAAATGTGAATGGCAAAAAATGAAACAATTTTTATTTATTTAAAATAATTAAACAGAATTGTTAAATTGTCCCACGGCGAGCTGTCCCACGGCGAGTTGGCCGTGGTGGGTTGGCCGCAGCAAGTTGGCTGAGTCAAGTTGTCCCACTCCCTTCTTCAGTGCCCAGAGCAGATTTTCTCCTTCCTGTTCCTGTCTTCTTTCTTCTCATGCCAGGCCTGTAAATGCCAGACACGTGAATTCACGCCAAAGCTTCAAACAATGTACAGAGCAGGCAGAGCTCACACAAGGAGGTTAGCCTTTTCCCCAGGTGCTTTCCTCCTCTGGATGAGTCCCAATTCTCAGATTTCTAGATTTAATTTAAGAGCTAATCTGTAACCTTCCTAAAAGGCAACAAATACAACCAGAAGTTTGCCCATTTTCTAAGAAAAATCTGTTCTTGCATCTCTTGCCTTTAGCAGCTAACTGCACAGTGTTGGCAGTAATCGACTGATGCAGTGACTAGAGAAGGATTTTTCTGATTTTATTTATTTAGATATAGATAGCTGCCCATTTCTCCACAGCAGATATGTAAGCACTGTATTAACCCACCCAGGCTTTACTAACACCGCAACCCCCATGCTTGGCAAATAACTGGTTTTTGACAATATCCAGAAAGGCAACAGGGTCAGGGCCAATCTGGTTTCAGGTGGTACAGCATCCCGGAGGGCAGGGGCCATGACAGAACAGGTACATTTCCTGGTTCCTGCAAGATGGCAATCTTTAATTGATAGGACCTGAAGTGTGCCCTTCCAGGTGGATCTTAAAGAAGAATACAGACCATTGGAGAGAGGCAATCTTTCAAGTTTCCATGACAAGCTGAGATAGGAAGAAAGAGAGGGAAGATCCACTTCATTGCACATTGCTTTTTTTTGTGCCTTTTGACCTTATTGACCACTACCGACAATCAGTGTGATCTTTAGTGGAGGGATTCCCCTTTTTGACTTCTTTATATTCCATCTCTGATGCCTCCAAGCATGCCTATACCTAGATAGTCTGATATTCTCAGGATTCCCATCACTTCCAGTACCTAATGCTTGTCCTCACAATTCCTCTTTACACAATTCCCCTCCGGTAATAAAGTAAATACTGTGCCAGGCTCCATGCTGTCTAGCAGACTACGTGTCTTTCATTCACTTACTGTACTTAGAATATAACTGGATCAGATATGGAGGCTATGTATCTAAATGTAATTTCCTAATAAAAGAATGTATTCCTTTTTAAAGACAAACACCATTTATATAAATCTTTCTGTGAATTTAGCAGCAAACGAGCAAAAACTGGAACAATATTTCTACATCAGATCTTAAACAGGGACGATTTTTCCGTATTTTAAACATTTTTAAAATTAAAAGTTATCCTATGGATAACATTATTTTATGAATGTGTGCATGCGTGTGTGTGTGTTGCAAAAGTAGGATAGTGGCAAAAAGAATATGAGTTATAGCAGTCTTATTGTTGTTACACTCATTCAAAAATGACCTGGAACACCTTTGTCTCTTCAACTGCTTTCATTTTGTCCAGTCTGTGATTGATATCAGAGAGTTTTAAGACTTGAACAATTTTCTTGAATTTCATTCCTTGAAAATAATAGATAATAGTCTAAATCTCCAATTCACTTGCTAGAAAAGAAACAGCAAGATTCCTAAGATCAGTTCATACACATTTGAAGGGTGATCAAATGTTCGGATGTCAAATGTAAAACCTTTAACCTACGTATTGATGCCCAGCATTTTGATGTAAATACAAAATAGCAGGGATTTGCAGTGTAATATCACGTGTGCCATTGTTCATCACAGTTGCTAGAATCAGAGCAGACATCTTTGTAGTTTCTTGGTGAACTTAGATTAGAAATGTGGTCAGTTTTTTCTTTCTTTCTTTGTTCATTTAAGTGATATGCTCCTTTATAAAATTTGAAGGTGTCCTTGTTCTGCCCCACTTGCAGCTTTGCTTTGTGAATTTTTCTCCGCAGACCATTTCAGAATGATCCAACATTTGATCCTGAGTTTATACTCTCCAAGTCCACAGCTGCATCTGGTTTATGTTCTTGGTGCTTAAACATTGTTCGTTTCTATGAAGTCTACTGTGATGTGGCACCTAAGCGGCAGGCCTTGGAAGAGGCTAATGCCGAACTGGCAGAGGCAAAAGCCAAACTCATGACGATTAAAAACAAGATTGCAGTAAGTAGGCTACAACTTCATTTGGGTAATGTGCCAGACCCCAGGGCATCTTGTTGAAGTAGATGTCAGTGTTCAAATTGGCTGACATTCACTGCTGGCGCCAAACAAGAGAATTAATTATTTAGGCAAAAGTTACACAATTAAACCAATTGCATGCAAACAACATTCCGTTGTATTTATACAGATCAAGAACCGGTATAAACATGAACTCTGAGTCATGAATTCTCCTGCGCATGAATGAAATGAAAACTGTACTACAGTACTCGCCCAGTTCAGATGGGGTGACCCACATGGCTTTCCATAATTTGCTAACCTGTTAACTGTAGCTCCAGCCAAGGTGTGGAATGCTGGGAGTTGAAGTTATGCAATGTCTGAAGGGACACATGTTACCCATTCCTGAGCTAAATAAATTCAGAATTCAGAATAACAAGAGTTGGAAGGGACCTTATAGGTCATCTAGTCCAACCACCCGCCCAAGCAGAAGACCCTACATCATTTCTGACAGATGGCAATCCAGTCTCTTCTTGAAAGCTTCCAGTGATGAAATGAGAAGCATTTCTCCTTTCCTCCATGTAGCCAGAGGAATTAATTTCTCCTCCATTTTATTCAGAAGAGAAAAGTGAGCACAGGCATTGCATGAACTGACATCCACTTGTACACTAGTTGTGAAGGAGAACCTGGCTTAATCAATAGCTTGTCTAGCCCTGGATCTATTTCAATAGAAAATAGTCAGAAGTTAACATGAATGTAAGAGTTCTTTTCTACTGCATGTGAGGATCAGTTAATTTTAATCTTGCTTAGTGATGTAGGGCTTATTTTTCTGCTTGGTTTTATTTGTTTTATTATTTCATTTACTTTATTATTTTAAATAGTTGCAAACCTATCCCCTTTTAGTTAGGTTATTATTCAATATATTGTGCAAACCCAGAAAATAGATTAATTCAGAACCTAAGTTATATATACAGCTTGTTCTGAATCCTTCACTATGTGTGACTTGAAGAGGTATTTCATTTACCAGCTTTACATCTCTTATTTAGGACTAAAGTACAGGCAGTCCTCGACTTACAACAGTTCATTTAGTGACCGTTCAAAGTTACAATGGTACTGAAAAAAGTGATTTATGACTGTTTTTCACACTTACGACCATTGCAGCATCCCTGGGGTCACATGATCAAAATTCAGACAATTGGCAACTGACTCATACTTATGACGGTCGCATTGTCCCGGAGTCATGTGATCAGCTTTTGCGACCTTCTGACAAGCAAAGTCAATGGGGAAGCCAGATTCACTTAACAACTGTGTCACTAATTTAACGATTGCAATGATTCACTTAACAAAAGAAAGGTTGCAAAATGGGCGGGGCAACAGTCCCTTAACAAATGTCTCACTTAGCAACATAAATTTTGGGCTCAGTTGTGGTCATTAGTTGAGGACTATCTGTATGAATAAGACTCTCAACCTCCCGGTTTCTAGCCCAATGCCTTTAACCTCTACACCAAATTGGTTCTTTTTCCAAACTGGTTATCTTTTTATAAACCTCCCTTACATTTTCATCCTTCGTCTTCTTTCTAATCTATCACCACCCATTCCTGCAGCCTTTTCTTCCTCACAGTTTTAGACAACTTTACTTGACAAAATTATTGCAATCATTACTGGTAAAGTATGTTTAATTATGATTTGCTGTCTGAAGACTATTCAGGGGCATGCACAAAGGAGGGTTGATGATGGTGGGTGATTATGAAAGCAGGTCGACAGACAGTACAGCCTCTGCCCCTTTTCCTGTGCACATTGTGATGTTGTACACACATACAAAAGGGTCAGAGATTGTAGCATGACACCTTTTTCATCATTTCGATAAACATGTTAGATCTGTGAAGCCTCCAAAATTATTGCATAATTGTAAGCATTTCCAACAACAACTGGGGGTGTCTTTATTTTTTGTAATCATATGAGTAGCTGTTTGCTTTTTCGTGATGCACTGATGTGACTCCCCTGTCAGATCTGGTTACATGATGCAGCATTTACTCATCCTTCGAAACCAGCTTGTACGTAAATGCTCAATTTAAACCAATTTGCTTTAGCCAAACTATTGCCTCATTAATATGGGAAGAAATTACATCACTTTAGTTCGTCATTTCCCTACACGTAACTGCAAACTTTTTTGTTTGAAAGGATCTAAATGCCAATTTAGCCAATCTGACTGCTGAATTTGAAAAGGCCACAGCTGCGAAAATCAAATGCCAACAAGAGGCTGATGCAACGAACAGAGTAATTTCGTTGGCTAACAGGTACACCGTCACTAAATACTTCCAAGGGTGCTCTGGGTTAATGCTGGTTAATTGCCATAGTTGGCTTGTGTCAGCATGAGCCTTGACCGCATGAGGTCCATGACTGATCTTCCTCTTTTTAAAAACTGAAAGTAGGGCGGGGGCCTGCCAATGTCTCTGAAGCAGCAGTTATAGGAAGAGAGTTTCTATTTGAACCCATTTTTCTATTCAGATTGACTCTTGTAAATGGGCATTATACAATTGTATTTGCCTAGTTTGGGAAAACAGGTACTGCCAGAAGAAGAGAGGAAACATTTGATGGTGTAATATTGGATCTAGATTGAAGAAGTTAATATAGACCACTGAATTACCAATGGACCCAGACAACACGTTGTCTATTAAGTATTTGACTGCAAAACTAGAAAATTAATAAAATATTTATATAAAAAAAGTAAATCTTAATTTTCTTGGGGATAAGTCTGAATTTAAATATGATTTCTAAAAGTATTTGCTTCATTGTATTAAAAAGCATGCAGGTATAGGAAAGTTGTTAGGGTTTTCCTATATCATTAACCCTAATGGCTAATACTTTACATTTGTATGTCTTCCAAAATTTCTAAGAGACAGAATCCAATATCTATATTCTTATAAGCCCTCGGAAGAAGATGGTATTTGTTCTGCTACATCAAACTGTAGTATTGTTTGCAATTAATCATGGTTAGGATACATGACATTCCTTATCTGAATCCCAAGGATCTAAACCACATTTCAGAAAGATCAGAAAGAATAGCATAATACAGTATGAATCCTAAATACTATAAACCAGACAGCAATTGCGAAAGCTTCAAACATTTCTTGTATTCATATCAAATTGTGTTTTGTTTTGTTTTTGTATATACATTGGAATGTATGAGAAGTCACTAGGAAGCTTGATTGTCTCAAACTGGCTGGAAGTCCCAGCTGGTAAGAAGAAAATTGTTCAGCTTCTCAGCAAGCTATGAACCATTTCCTGAAAATGAAATACTATAAAAGAAAGAAAGCATGAATCAAAGATGAGTGGTTTGTTTAGAAAGGCTGTTGGTTCATAAGCAAGCAATGTTCTCTGTTCTCTCATCAGTCTGCCCCTTGCCAGAAGCCGCAAAGTACATCACCAAGGAAAAGAGTTACACATCTCTCACTAAGGCTTATGTATCTTCACAAAAGTCACGCCCTGGATGTGACTTATGTGGCCCTCAGATCTATCCTGCTGTTATGTGCTCCCTGATTTCTTTTCATGATGAGAAACCTGAGTGGTTTCAGAACTTAGCAGGAAGTGCTTGCTTCAAATGAGATTGATTATGGTTTTATACATTGTTCTGAATAAATATCTGTTTTGGAATAATCTTTATTTGAGTTTATCTGTCTGAAATTGGATTATAGAGGCATTTTGATTTGTGATCAGAACAGTAAATTCATTAGCTTCTCCATACCAACTTCTTACGTGGAGTGGAGCCATCTGAGACATCCGATGGCCCCATGCTTATCTCAGACAAAAGAACACTCTAAGCTGGCTCGTGGCCAGGATATCCTGTGATGAACTTTAGTGGCTCCTCCTTTCCTCCCACTACTGACCTATTAACATGGGATAGCTGACTAGCTAAACTACATTATCCATAAGCCATCTCTTAAGGAGACAGCACTTAACCCAATAAATGCCAAACATTCTAACATACAGACCTGCATGGTCCAGAACATACATCATATTTCACAGCGGCTGAAGGCAGGTAGTTCCTTGATGAGCTCATAGTTTTCTGCTTGATGGTTTCCTAGTGTTAATCCCTCGTTATCTGGGTGTAGGCTGATAGAAAGGATATTTTCTGATCTTTTTGTTTCCTCCGTAGCCTTTTTATTGTCTCTTTTGAATAATGTATAGCAGGGGTAGTCAACCTTGGCTCTTTTATGAGTCGTGGACTTCAACTCCCAGAATTCCTGAGCCAGCACAGCTGGCTCAGGAATTCTGGAAGTTGAAATCCACGAGTCATAAAAGAGCCAAGGTTGACTACCTCTGATGTATAGTATAAATGTGGTTTATTACAAACCCCACATTCCCTGGCACTGATGATGTTACCTACTCAGGTAATGAAACGTCTGCAAGTAAACACCAAATCTCAGAGAGCACCAAGGAATCTACAGCTCAACCCTGAGCTACATACATTCTTCTATTGGAATATTCATACTGCTGATCAAGCCAGGTTGGGTTAGAGCCTCACATGTCCTAATCATATCTTTCTCTCCTTTTGGAATATTTCCTAAGGCTTGTTGGTGGATTAGCATCTGAAAATGTGCGTTGGGCTGAATCGGTGGAAAATTTCAGCGAACAGGGAAAGACTCTGTGCGGGGATGTGCTACTGATTACTGCATTTGTTTCCTATGTTGGGTATTTTATCAAAAAGTATAGGAGCGAGTTACTGGACAAGTTCTGGACTCCTTACTTAAAGCAGTTGAAGGTAAGTCTATGTAAATGCCTGTTCCAGAAAATGAATGTTGTTTCAGTGAATCTGTCTGGCTTCTGATCCTAGTGGCTTTAGGTTACAAGTAGAGGATCCTCGGGTTATGCCCAGCTTCAGACTATAAACTCTAACTCTGAGTATTTCTTGGCTTGTTGACCAAGAAAGAAAACATCATCCTTTTGCTTTTATTCTCCAAGGCACTTTGTAACAACCCATTAAAACAATTGATCACAGAAAGGAGGAGCCTCAAAGTGATCTTTGCAGAAGTAGTAACAAAGAAGTGATGAAGAGCCTTGAGGAATGAAAGGATCTTTGCTTCATGCCTTAAAAATATGAACATTAATATTGGTACCAACCAAACCTTCCCAGAGAAAGTCGCATGCAAGATGCCCCTGCTAGAAGGCATACTCCCATCACCATTGCTTCTCTTCAGATGATAGATTTGAAGGGTGAAAAATACTGAAGCATTGTATCTCCCCAAGTGTTTTGCCACGATATATGCATTACATCAAAATAATAGTTTGGCGGTGAAGGATGCAGCAGATCCAAGAGATTATAGCTCCTGAGGACAAGGTGTTATTCCTGCAGGGTATTCCTGCTTAAAAAAAAAAATAAAAATTCCATGGTTCTTTCTAACCATTATGTCATTTATTTGTCTAAACTAGTGAGGAGCCTCTGACCTGTGAGTCTTCTTATCCAATCTACAGGTCTTTCTCCTTTGACCCTGAAGCTCCCTTGATACCCCTTTCTCTCTGCTCATCTACCCCTTTAGAGAACTGCTGCTTTACAGCGCTGCCTTGAACCAACACTTGATTTTCCAGTAACAAGTGAGATAGTACCAGATAAGCAAGGAGGTAGTGAAGCTCTGTTTTATGTTCAGAGACCCTTGTCAAAATCTAATTCACTCCTGAACATAGGCTGTGCCTTTTCTATCCTGACAGTCCATTTTTATCTTAATATTATAATAGGTACCAATCCCTATTACTTCTGGCCTGGATCCTTTATCCCTGTTAACAGATGATGCAGATATAGCAACCTGGAACAACCAGGGGCTCCCCAGCGACCGTATGTCAACAGAAAATGCAACAATTCTATGCAACACAGAACGTTGGCCACTCATTGTGGATGCACAGCTTCAAGGGATCAAATGGATCAAGAACAAACATGGACGAGAGCTGAAAGCCATCCGGCTTGGACAGAAAAGGTCAACTAGAGTTATTCTGTTCAGTTTGGACTTTATTCTAAAAGAATGGCCTACAGCAGTGGTTCTCAACCTGTGGGTCGGGACCCCATTTGGGGTCGATTGACCATTTCACGGGGGTCGCCAAGCAAGGCTGTCCGCCATTTTTTTTGTCCGCCATTTTTTTTGTCCGCCATTTTTCCCCCTTTTCCGGTGGGTGCCTTACCTCCCTTGGGCTGGGCCAGCTGGTGGTCGGCCTGCTCCGTCTCTGCCACTTGCCAGCTACGCCTCGGCCGGCGCAGGGGGCAGAACCACGCATGCGCGGCGCTCCCGAGCAGGGAAAGTCCTCGACTTACGACCGGTTGGGTAGTCCTCGACTTACGACTGGTTTAGTCCTCGACTTACGACCGGTTTAGTCCTCGACTTACGACCGGTTTAGTCCTCGACTTACGACCGGTTGGGGTCGCGGCATTAAAAAGGTTGAGAACCACTGGCCTACAGGCTAAAAAACAAGAATTGCTCTGCTCTCAGCTTATCTGGGATGCACCCTCATTTTGCTTGCATCTATTCTGGGAGTATTATAATTAGCCTCTTTACATTCTTTACATTCAATCTTCCTTGTAACACCCATCACAGCCCATACTATCAACTTTCCTCACTTGCAGTGCTCCACACCTAGGGAATGACTGGGAACAGGCTCCTTGAGATGACTGGAGCCTTGATCAATAGAATTTAGGTGGGGAACACACACATCTTTCAGTGACATAGCAACATTTCTGGGATCTGGGATAGGCAAGTAATTTACCCCTAATGACATTTTACCCACAAATAATTCTTCATCAATCTTCTAGCTTTATTATGTATACACAAAGACCTTTTGCTTCCCCATGTGCTTCCCCCAACTCCACCAGAATAACTAATCAAGAAACAGGAGAGAAGAGGACGAATGCGATCCAGATGGTTGCATCTACACAAGATGTCTTCTGTCCAACCCTTTTTCTTATAGCAGTTGTGTTCACGGTCACTTACCATGCTGGGCTAAATAACTTTTACCATATGATGTGTGAACTCCCACATGGTAGCCAGTTTCTAATTTCAAACTGTGTCATTCACAGGTCTTTGCATATCCAAGGACACACTTCTTAGATGGCTTTGTTATTATGTTTGCCTTCTTGCCTTGTTTTATGTTTTTCTAACCTATGCACCAGTCCAATTAATTCAGGTGGATTTCATAAATTTTACTACTCTTCTGCCCAAATTCCTCTCTGGGTCCTTCCAGATTTGATAGGAGTCTGGGCTTATTTATCTATTTTAATTTATATAACCTCCCATCTAGCTTACGTGACTCTGGGTGACTCACATTAAAACAATGACAAATCCATATAAATAAAATTATTAAATTGATTAACCAAACAGAAAAGCACAAGAAAATGCCATTCTACAACTCAGTATTTAATTGGCTATTTAATTCATCTAATTGGATAGTTAATTAGTGTGAGGAGTCCATTGCGGCTTTTCTATCTTGCTGTGCATGTCCGCCACTGTTTGTCTGTTCACTTGAATTCCCCACTCAATCCACTCACGTCACCCTTGCCTATGTGCTCTGACATCTATTTCAGTGGCCCTGATAAAGCTCCTTTTCTCAGCATGCATCTCCATTGCAAATGATTATGAAAACACATTTAACTTCATTTTCACTAGGGTACAAGAAGAGTTTTTGTGTTCTCAAGAGACCGTGTGACACACTAAAGATTTATTATCAATTGTACAGCTACCTAGATATCATTGAAAAAGCGATTTCTGACGGAGACACGCTGCTTATTGAAAATATTGGAGAGACAGTAGAACCTGTGCTGGATCCTCTGCTAGGCCGAAACACAATCAAGAAAGGAAGGTAAGTGCATTTGCAGCCACAACAGCCCTTGGTTGTATCTTTGTACTCTGTCCTTTGCAACCCAGTTTGCACTGGAAGTTGATGCATTCTGTGTGTATGCCTTAGTCGTCCTAAGAGTGGTAATTTGACTCAAGCAAAGATTAGTGAAGCATATTTTATGGTTACAGCAACAGAAGATTTATTTACAGTAAAAACATATTTTTCTTTCATTCAATTGTGTCTAATTCTCAGAGACTACCTGGACAATTCACTCCAGTTTTCTTGCCAAGATTTTTCAGAAGTGGCTTGACATTTCCTCTTTCCTAAGGCTATGAAAGTGATGACCTTCCAAGGCCATCCAGTTGTCTTTATTCCTAAAGTCAGTCTAGAAGTTATGATGTCCTGGTTTCTAGCCTAGTGTCTTAACCATTACACCAAACTGGTAAGGCCAACAGATAGATAACTGCATCCTACTAGGAAGAGAGTCAAAGAATACCTGTTCTGTGCATGTGCACTTTGGAAGAGAAGCAGAAGCAGGTGACCTCAGATTAGCAAGCTCTTAAAACAAAGAGCAGGAAAGATAATCAAAGAGGGGACACAACGCAAATCCTTAACTTTATACTCACACTATATGACTCTCTTTTGAGAGTGTTGAAGAGCCAGCGCCATTGTATTCTTATCTCCAACCATTTGATAAAGAAGAAGAAAGTAGATCTCTGTTACTTTACTGAGGGAAGAAGAACAGGCACTTTTGTCCATTTTTTTCATCAAGAGTACTCTAAAATGAAAAGTATTATTCATACAGAACTGCATTATGCACTTGCTTGTCTTCCCCAAATAAAGTGAGGAAGCTATTCTCTACCTTGTTGGGAGTCTAGAGATAGCTGGAGTGGAGACACAGGTGAGAAAGGAACTCAGGAAACAAATGCTAACACACAAAATAAAGTCTGAGAATGAAACAGCTGTGAGTGACTGGCTAGTGACCAGAGAGGCCACCTCACCAAACCTTTCGGGTGATGAAGTATGATAGAAAGCCCTCATTTACTGACTGCCTTCAACAGCACAGTCACTGTTCACAACTACGACAGTGATGAAAAAGTGATTTTGTGACCAATGCCCACATTAAGGACCTTTGCAGCATCTCTTTCTCCCTCTCCCTCCCTTTCCTTCTCCCTCTCCCTCTCCCTGTCAGATGTTCCCCATTATAGTAAGTATACAATTGTCCTGTGCCTCATCCATTTTTCTCTCCCCCTTACAGAGCTGAGAGAGTGCCTAAACAAGCTATTTCTGAGCTGTTTTTCTCCACAACTCAGCATGTCCCCAACAAGTGCTAATTGCAAGTTAACACCCTGAACTCTGTGACCTTAATTAATTGATTAGAACCATATGTGGCCTATTGCTGCTGCCTGCTACTGACAAGACTCTAATCAATTTCATACTGAAGACCTTTTGCCTTTTAAGTTGCTGGAGGCTTGCTACCACCCGTGGGTTAGGCAAATATCTTGTCCTAGTGCATTCTAGGGTCTAAGAGATATTTATCTGGAGCCTTCTGAGTTTTACTAAGCTATAATACCAATAGAGGGCTATAGCTGTTTAACACCTCTGCAATTTTTATTTATTTATTTATTCTAGAAAAAATGTGTAAATTGCACAATCTGCCCAAATTAGTTCCCAAATTAGCCCATTGTTTTCAGATCTAGTTGATGATAGTATGCCATTCCTTATCCGGATGTTGGATGCCACTGCCATTTGCATTAGCTTCTGCCCCCTTTTAGGATCAGGAGGGACACCATACAGCCCTTTGCCTTAAGCAGCAAAGTGTCTCTGGTTATCCATGAGTGGATTTATGACAGCAGTAAGAATTTCAGAAATGGCAGGCTCATGCCCTTTTCCTTTAAACTGGTTCAGAATTGCAAGTTTGGGCCTGCATGTCCTATGTTACTATGATGAAAATCAAACACAAAAAAACCAACAGCAAATATTCTTAAATTGTGCTGTTTGTGTTCATGCCTCTGAATCTATTGAAATTGTCACCCTTCTGTGGGTTGACATCACAAATCCAACTCTACTTTAAACTATTTCTACTAGTTTTCATTTCAACTGCCAATCTCCAACTTCCCAATGTCCCTCATTAACATTGATCTTACCTAATTAATCTCTTTTTTTCCAAGATGTATTGCATAACATGAGTGGATATGGAGAGGGACTGCTCTATTATATTTTAGTGCAGTGAATCTGCTTTGCATGCTGAAAGTGCCTAGTTCCACCTGCAGCATCTCCAGAATAGGACGCGGAAAGATTCATTTGTAGAAACCAGGGCAGCCAGGCTTAATGCCTTTATTTGCCTTTATTTTCATCTAGCCATAATAAGTTATTTTGCCATGGCCTCATGATATTGCTTTCATCTCATTCTTAGATCATAAGGCCACTTTAGCAGTGGTGGGATTCAAATATGTGAACAACCAGTTCTCTGTGTGGATGCCGCTTCCAGAAGTCCATTCTGGGCCTGGGCAACAAAAAATTAGCTACTGGTTCTGCCGAAGTGGTGCGAACCGGCTGAATCCCATCACTACACCTTAGGTGATCCTAAGCGGTGCCAATTTTAATAGTGTTTTCCCTTTAATCTAATACACTTTACTAACTGTTCTGCTGGAAGTGCAATTAGTAAACAGCCTGCATCCATTGGCCAATTTGACAAGACACAGCTCTTCCCCTTTTTCTCTTCAGATAGGAAGAACTGGCTGCAGCAGCTATCACCAAGTTACCCAGCAGTTCCCTAGAAGCCACAGAAAAACTGACTGCGGACCAGGGGCAGTTGCACAACAAAAAAGAAAAGGTGTTGGTCTCAAATCTGACCTACACAAACTTCTTGCTTTAACACTCAGTTTGTCCAGCCCACTGATCAGCAGTTCAGCTGTCTGGATTGTTGCCTTGGGCTTTGCAAACACCAGTTCTGCTTTACCATGGAACTTTCCTGGTTCTGGTAGATGTCTTGGCATAATGATAAACAGGGAGAGGCAAGTCAGCCTCTCCAGTCAAAATTTTGCCATCGCTCCAAGCCCCATCACTGCATCGCTGCCCTGACTGGCTGGTGCTCTCCAAAAAGGAGGATGGTAGAGCAAAGCCAAGAAGTTTTACCACTAGCTTTCTACCTGAGTGGCTGGAATCGGGATACCACCCTTTGGCAACAAGCCAAAACAAGCGGTTGGCGCAGGATAAAGATTGACAAATGTAGAAAGACAGCAACTGAAGAAAACTGTACACTTTTCTGCCAACTGAAGCATAGGTCAATAGCACTAGCTCAGCATTTGGCAATGACTCCCAGTCTACATAGACAATCTTAAACTAAATGAATTGATGATCTGACCTGATAAGCAGTTCCCTGTATATTGAACCATCTGTTGTAGACAAAAAGGATTGATTTTCTATCAACTGAGTCTAAGCTAAAATAAAATTTTAAAAAAAGATGGTGGGACAGGGATAGTAGCTCTGTCCATCAATAGTGAATATAAGCAAAGGTAAGTTACACTGGTCTATGCAACATTTTCACATATTTCAAAACTCTTATTCCCAGATACATTAAAATAGGAGACAAGGAAGTAGAGTACCACCCCAACTTTCGCCTGATTCTGCACACCAAGTACTTCAATCCCCACTATAAGCCAGAGATGCAGGCTCAGTGCACGTTGATCAACTTTTTGGTTACCAGGGATGGCTTGGAAGACCAGCTTTTAGCTGCTGTGGTTGCTAAGGAAAGACCTGACTTAGAGGAACTGAAGGTATATTATCATTACTAGTTGTGAGCATCCGAGTTATAGACTATGGAATAGTCATTTTAGTAATTCCAAGGGAAATCAAATAGTCTAAGTTAGCCTTCCCAACTTGATAGTATATCAGATGTATTGACTCTTATTAAACCTCAGCAATAGAAGAAGGGGATGACAGAGAATGAGGTGGCTGGATGGAGTCACTGAAGCAGTAGGAGTGAGCTTAAATGGACTCCAGAAGATGGTAGAGGACAGGAAGGCCTGGAGGAACGTTGTCCATGGGGTCGCGATGGGTCGAGTACGACTTCTCAACTAACAACAACAACAAAACCTCAGTCAGCATGGACAGAGACTGTGGAAACTGACGTCCAGCATATTTGGGAAGCACCAAGTTGAAAAAAGCAGAGAATCTGAAACAAGTGTTCAGATTGTCTTTTTCCTTAAAATGTTTATTATGTCCCAGGATTGCAACAACCCAAGTGTTTTATAAAGGGAAATGGCATTGGTGTGTAGTCTTTGCATCTAATACAATAGATAAATGTGTATTTACAATGTACGAAGTGTTAACGGTAGAATCCAAGAATTCATACCCCATTTTACTCAGTAGCCTCATCTAAGATAGGAACCTGCAGCTCCAGGTTGAAAATGGCCTAGCTTTGGTGTAGGAAGAAAGGAGATTTGTTGATAAGTAACAAAATCTCTTTTTCTCCACTCTGTCTAGGCTACTCTCACAAAACAACAGAATGAATTTAAGATCATCCTGAAGGAACTAGAGGACTCCTTACTAGCCAGACTCTCTGCTGCATCAGGAAACTTCTTAGGAGATACAGCCTTGGTAGAAAACCTAGAGACCACAAAGCGCACAGCAAATGAAATAGAACAAAAAGTAAGCTAGCTGGTTCAACTTCACTATGCTGTCCTGCCTCAGCAATAGTGCTGAGAAATGGATTTGTGATTTACCAAACCAGCAGTGAAAGCGAAGTAATATAGAAAGCATTGTAATTCTCTAAAGCACGACTAGATATCACGTACCGTAGTCTATTTTTTTTTTATTCTTTTAAAAATATTTTTTTTCTTATTTTTTTAGGTGAAAGAGGCTAAAGTTACTGAAATACAAATTAATGAAGCCAGAGAGAACTACAGGCCAGCAGCAGAAAGGGCATCCCTGGTGTATTTTATATTAAATGACCTGAACAAAATCAACCCCATCTATCAGTTCTCCCTGAAGGTAACTAATAGTAGAACATGCTGTTTGGATAGTGATCGGTTATATTTTTGTAGAAAAATAGCTCCCTCTGCCCTTATGGAGTCCGAAATACTCTCAGCTTTTTTTGCAAAAACATTATAGCTGCCCATTGAGACTCTTTGTCTATGATAAGGAAGAATGACTGAGAGCCAAGCAACTCCTCAGATGCAATGGAAAAAAATATTCCAGAGTAGGGATGTCAAACTCAATTTCACTGAGGGCCGCATCAGCATTGCGGTTGCCCTTGGGGGGCCGGGTGGGTGTGGCCAGGGTGGGTGCAGCCCACTGGGTGGGCATGGATGGAGTGGGTGTGGCCTACTGGGTGGGCATGGCCAGTTCTACATTATTTGCGTCAAGGGTGCCTATGGGGGCCTGGGCAGTAGTGGGACAGATCTGAGGGACTCTGGCAGAAGGGGGTGGGACCGGGGCAAGTGCCAAGATGGCCACAACAAAATTGTACATTGGCTCCCGGCTGGCCTGGGCCAGGGCCAAGGCAGCGGGGGCCATTCCCTCACTGTTTCCAGGATGGCTTCGCGGGCCACATGAAACCACTTCGCAGGCCGCATCCTGCCCCCGGGCCTTGTGTTTGACATGTCTGTTCCAGAGAGTCAAACCTTGGGCCTTTTGTTTTGCTAATGCCCAACTATGTAACCCCTTCATGTTTTTGAGGATGGCATCTTGCTTGTGTCTGCCTGTTCCGGAATACAGAGCAGGACGTCTGCCTGAAACCCTGCACAGTTTTGCATTTTGGCTTCTTCTTTTTCTTCCTCTTTTTTCCTGTTCAGGCTTTCAACGTCGTGTTCGAGAAAGCCATTCAGCGTACAGCTCCAGCAGAAGATGTGAAACACAGGGTGATCAACCTTACAGATGAGATCACCTATTCAGTTTTCATGTACACAGCTCGGGGTCTGTTTGAGAGAGACAAGCTTATTTTTCTAGCCCAGGTTGCCTTTCAGGTAAAGTGACTGGATGATCCTGGACAAAAAGTATTTTTCTCCTGCCTGATAAAAAGGATATAAGTTTGTAGAAAAGTTGCTATCATATTGAAAATATCACTATTGGCTCTGTATAGTATTAGTAACTAAGTTGACGCATGATTTACTTGTCATAGCTTGTTCAGTGAGCTGCGTTCACACAGCATGCTAAGCCCTCAACCACAGTGGCTGGATTTACACTGTCACTTAGCCACAGTCCAGCCACATGATAGTGTGATCTGATGCATGAACCAAGCCACAGAATATTTTGCATATGAGAATAAAGGTCCTCAGGAGGGCAAGGATCCCCCTGTAGCAGAGAATGCAGAAGTAGAATAGTGTTATTGCAAAATAAGTTGGGAAACAGTTTCTCAAAAAAATTCATGTACGAAAAAAAACGCTCATAAATGGAGCAACTGGAATTGGAAGGCAGTTAGCCATGAAAGGTTAAAGCAGAAGGCAGAGTGGAAATACTTATCCGGCCAGGTGTTCTCTAGAATTGACGACAGCGTCTATAATCCCCAGCCAATTAGCCTATTGATCATTTTGGCTATAGATTTTCAGTGTTGCAATTAAGAAAAGCTCATTTAAATATTGTACTCTAGAGAAGTAAGGTCAACATTGTCACGGCCACTAGCATCAGCGTGGCCCCCCTTATTCACTGAAAGCCCAAGGAGATATTTGTGCTATAAATTATCTTCAGTGCTCTGAATGCATCCAGTTCTAGGGAATAGTACTACAAGTAGTCTTTAACTTATGACAATTGAGTCCAAAATTTCTGTTGTTAAACAAGACAGTGAGTCTTACCCCATTTTATGACCTTTCCTGCCACAGTTGTTAAGTGAATCACTGCAGTTATAGTAACCCGGTTGTAAAGTGAATCTGGCTTCCCCATTGATTGCTCGTCAAAAGGTCATGATTCCGGGATACTGCAACTATCGTAAATACATGCCAATTGCCAAGCATTTGAATTTTGATCACATGACCATGGAGATGCTTTCATGTGAAAAACAGTCATAAATCATGTTTTCAGTTCTATTGTAACTTTGAATGGTTACCGAACAAATGAGTAAGTCGGGGACTACTTGAATACGAAGATATGCATTTGCTTACCTTCCCCAGAATAGCCAAACCAGCCCCCTCTGGTTTAGATCCTGTCCTTGTGTGTAGGCTCACCATCTCTGGAAATCAGTAAAATGGAAGATGCATGAATTTGACACAGCGGCTGTTATTTATTTGTTTGAAGAAAGGTATATCATTTGTAACATTCCTAATTTTCTCATCTTCCCTAGGTCTTGCTGGTAAAAAAAGAAGTGAATCCAGTGGAACTAGACTTTCTTCTACGTTTTCCCTTTAAAGCTGGCTTGACATCTCCAGTAGAGTTCTTATTAGGTCAAGGATGGGGTGGAATTAAGGTTTGCTCAAAACCACTATTTGTAGTCTAAGCGCTTCTTAGTAACTTAGAAAGAGCCATGAAAACTGCTAAGCTTCATTACTGTACCATAATATATATGAACTTTAGTCACAATATCAGGTGCTAGACCGTGCATGATTTTTGGTAGGCCCTCTTTATAATCAGTTATAAAAAAACAGGTGAGAGATGAACTGCAGGACAGCAAAGATCTGGAGTAAGATATGCAAAGGGCAAACATGGTATAGGGATGATTTTACAATGTAGACTGCAAAAGTAGTTTGGAACCAGCTTGTTACCCATGTAGTGGCTGGACAGATATGAATTAGTTCTGAATAAATTCTAATACCAAATCTGCATCAATCTAAACTATTCAAATCTGTTCGAGCAAGACCTAGAACTAGGTGGACCCTTCATTATTGATTAGTTATAGTATTACATCATAGCTTGGCAAAATCAGTTTATCCTGTTGGATATTATTGAGGTTGGCCCACCTCCAGACCGGTTTTCCATAGTGGCAAATATATTAGACTGCCAAGACTATCATTAGGCTAAGGGCTATTTTAATCCCAGAGCAATGGCTGTGTCCTGTTAAGGACTACCACAATGGAAAACCTGTTCTACTTGGATAAGCACATCATACTCGTTAACGTAGGTTTGTGATAAATTGTTTCTTTAAGTGTAAATACTCTTCCATGTCTGGCAACTGCAGGTTACTGGGGGGGGTGTCATTTACAAGAAACCCATTATTTATTAGAACTGACTGACTTTATATTAAAGTGACCATGTCCTAAATGGATAAAGCTAAAGAAACCATGGAAAGTATGCCTTAGTAATTTTGTACATCTGGAGGTGAAAAAAATGTCCTTTATTAGAACTTTTTAAAGGACCAAGATATGGTCTGCATTTGACTACCTGCAGATTTAGTTCCCCTTAGAATCAAGAACTCTAACATCACATGGTCACTCTCTCCCCACCCCCCAGTGTTCCTGCTACTTCTTTTTCCTTAATTATGTTGTCCAAGGCAAGGACAGCTGATCCTTTGGTACCCTCTTCCCCACTTTAAAAAAGGAAGACTAGCAAGACTAGTCAGGAATTTCCTGGCTGGAGCTAGCTGAGTTTTTTTCCCCTCAACAGAGGTTGTATAATAGTCTGCCATTGCTGTTATTACAATATGCAAAGCAGCTCCTTATCCCCTTTAGTATTTTACTAATATTTGAGATGCTTCATTTCTTCCTGTTGCAACACATCTAGAACATAGATGGAGAATGATAAGAACTACCACAAGTGATTTAACTAGCCATTCATGGGCAAAGCATTAGAGAGCATTGCATCTGCTGTTGCTGCTGTATCCTCAGGTACTTTCTGAAATGGACGAATTCAAAAACCTGGACAGTGATATTGAAGGCTCCGCTAAGCGATGGAAAAAATTTGTGGAATCAGAGACCCCTGAAAAGGAAGTTTTCCCGAAGGAATGGAAGAATAAGACAGCCCTACAAAAGCTGTGCATGATGCGATGCATGAGGCCAGACCGCATGACCTATGCAGTCAAGTATGTATCATGTTTTCTTCTACAGGCTTGGAAAATAGGAAATCTGAGGGTGCTTGACTTGGAGCCTGGAGAATATTCTCATGTGGAGCAGCTCATATTTAGTATGTTATTCCAAGGAACTGAGTCTTTTGGTCTACTCTGGCCTTTTTCCTGCTAGAGTCAACGGTCAAGAAGAAGACATGGGCTGGTGCAGTCCAGAGGTTCAAAGGCAAACAACAAACATGTCCATCTTTCAGATAGCAACACATACACATGGGCAATAGGGTTCAGACAGACCTATATATAGCTCCTGATTGTGTTCTTTTATCAACAATTCCAGAAAGCTTGTGCTGACATGAAAGGCTGATAATTCTGAAAGAATACAAGCATATACATAAATAGGAGCAGTTGCAAATGGTCAACTAGGTTTTATTTGGGGGTTTGTTTGCTTGGTCTCATAATTATAGTTACATAATAAATATAATAATAATAATAATAATAATAATAATAATAATAATAATAATAATAATAATAATAATAATAATAATAATAATAGGCCTTACTAGGAACTGCTTCCATCCTGCGACGATATCTGTAATACCATCAAACATCCACATCTGCCTATCCCAGGTCCTGGGAAAGGACTCGATAGGTAGACAAAATGCCAAATCCAGTCTGAACATCTGGCTGACTGTGCGATGATCCATAATAATAATAATAATAATAATAATAATAATAATAATAATAATAATAAAAAAGTTGGAAAGGACCTTGGAGGTCATCTAGTCCAACCCCTTGCTCAGGCAGGAAACCCTATACCATTTCGGACAAAAACCACTTCTGTGGTTTTAACAATACAAAGAAAAACCTCCATTTTTCATGCTCGTAAATGCCTAATCTACCCCACTGCAAGAACTGAATAACACATTTCTGCTATTAAAATTAGTAGTACAAAAATCCCACTCAAGATTGGTTGCTAGGGGCTCAAGTGAAAAATGTATTTCCTTTGTATTTGCAAAAAAAAAATGCTAACAGCAGCTTGTTTCCCTTAGAACAGGGATAGGTAATCAGATTTTTTGGGGATTACACCTGTGGTCCTCAAGCAGCATGACCAGCAGACAGGGATCTGGAGAACTGTAGTTCAAAACATCTGGAGGATACTATGTTTGCTTACTTGAAAACCATTCATACTAATAATGTATTAGAGAAATACTACTGGATTCCATTGGACATTGCCATTTCCAGTGCTGTTACATGTAGAGCATCTCTGTCATCAGTTTGCAGTGGAGAAAGTGCCAATCTCAAATTATTTATATCTCTGTTCTATCCCTGCAAGCCCATGTGTGTCTAAATCTGCCTGGTGGAATTCAGTAGAACTTACTCTTAAGCAGTTGTTGACAGGATAACAACCTAAAGTCCCTGTAACTGAAACTAAGTGAGGTGATAATTCCCCGGACTCTGTTTGTTTTAATAATGTATTTGGCTGTTTCTATTCCTTCCTTTCCCTCCCTTTCCAAAAAAATATGACTTTCTCAGAAACTTTGTGGAAGAGAAGATGGGGAGTAAATTTGTTGAAGGACGAAGTGTTGAATTCTCAAAATCCTATGAAGAAAGCAGTCCATCCACACCAATATTTTTCATTCTTTCTCCTGGAGTGGATCCACTGAAGGATGTTGAAGCCCTAGGTATGTTCACGTAGCATTGCTGATAAATGTTCCATATAGCCAATAAGACATTGGCTGGTGCAGTCCACAGACAGACAACACAAGTTATTAATTTTACAGATAGTTACATAGAGACATGTTCAATGCACAAGGAAATCAGAACAAGAACAAGCAATTAACTGTGTTATTGCTCCTAGGTCAGAAGCTTGGCTTTGCCATAGACAATGGGAAAATCCATAATGTGTCCCTGGGACAAGGGCAAGAGGTTGTGGCCGAACACGCTCTGGATGTGGCTGCAGTAGAGGGACATTGGGTCATTCTTCAGGTACTGAATACCCATAGACTTCCTGTTTACAGTTCCTAGATTTGTCAGCTGCACTGATCCCATATACTATTCCCTTTCCTACATGATTAAACAATTAGTCAGTCAATGCATAGTCCACACAGATTGCGCAAACAGTCTGCATTCTGATCCCAAAACAAGCCCACAATAAATATTTGCTGCTTATGCTTTGTCTAAAAATGCAGAATGCACACCAGCAGAGGCCGTCACAAGGCAACCGCTCCATTACATGCCAGGGACCCTGTTGCAACATTTTAGATAAATTTGCTAAGTTCATAATGTGAATGCACCCCTTCCATCTGTTTATCAGAAGGTGGGGCATTTTTAATAACAAGGCTGGTCCAAAAAGTACACATAGTTACATAACAGTATTACTCTTTAAACAGAAAACATACCAGGTGCTGCTCTGGGCTAGCATATTACACATAGAGAAGAAATTATAAATAACATACACATGATAATATGCATTCAGTGCAGGCAAGTTTAAACACACAACAGAGTCAGCAAAGAATTGCCCTACTACAGCTTCATAGACTAATGCAGGAGGTTGAGCATTTTCTCAAAGATTTCTCACGAGAGGACAAAGCTTTGGACCAGGAGACAAGGGCAGTTTAAAGTAGCAGTCCAGTCATTGCCAGAGTGGGCTCAGACCAAAAACAAAAAGGTTAAACTTCCTCAGTGCCAAGTCATTTAATTTTATAATCTTGCAGAATATACATCTGGTAGCCAAGTGGCTGAACATACTGGACAAGAAAGTTGAACGCTACAGCATTGGAAGTCACAACGATTACCGCGTATTTATGAGTGCTGAACCTGCTCCTTCTCCAGACTCTCACATTATTCCTCAGGGCCTGCTAGAAAATGCCATTAAAATCACAAATGAGCCTCCAACTGGCATGCATGCCAACTTACACAAAGCCCTCGACCTCTTTACACAGGTAAACAGACTCATCTGTTCAATTTGTTATTCCTTTCTGGCCTCAGATTATAGTTCCTAAATACACAACCATTGGTTTTCTTTATTTTGGGAGGGCTGCAGCACTTTATTGGTTAGAACAGATGCTAAAGTCTTGTTTCGCTTCTGGAGATTAGGACAGCCTTTGCATTCTGCACATGTGCTACTTATTTCCTTCAAGTTTAGATTATCTTTTTTTTTCTGTGTGCCTAAGTAAATTTTTAGACCTTTATGAAGAGCCAAGTGACAGAAAACATCATAACAAGATGAGGATTTAGAACAGGGGTCTTCAAACTTGGCCCTTTTATGACTTGTGGACTTCAATTCCCAGAATTCCTCAGCCAGCGTTGCTGGCTGAGGAATTCTGGAAGTTGAAGTCCACAAGTCATAAAAGGACCAAGTTTGAAGACCCCTGATTTAGAAGAACTGTCGCTATGTCAAAAACACAGCTGAGGTCAAGCCTGATCCTAAAATTACTCCTTTCCTTGCTTCTGGCAGAATCTGAGAGAACCATTCCCATTCTGTATATCAGAACTGTGACTCCTTCTGCTAAAATGTTGAAATTGAAAAAACCAGGTACACGTGTGGTAACAGAATCCAGATATCGAATGAATTTTAAAACAAGGGCTTTAGTGGTAGTAAATAGTCTAAAGATATTGAAATACTAAAGAAATTAAGAACTATAAGGTTCAGCCAAAAATTGGGACAAGGCAAATTGGGATATCACCTAACCATAGCTGGAGACTTAAAAGCCACAGGTAGGATTTCGTGGCAGCCTTTTGGTCTACTCTTCCTTGCTTCTGATTTCTGTTTAATTTTCCACTGCTGCATATTCTGTCAGAATTCTACAATTCAGTAACTGAATTCTCTAAAAAGAATTGGAATGGCGGTGTTCCTAATACCCTGGGCATATTCATGAGTGCAGTATTTTCTTAGACCAATAGTGAACTTTAGATTACTGTCTCTAGTCTAGAAAATGCCTTTGTCATTGCTCTGCTTTTGCAGGTTCCCAGTTGAATTTCCACAATAGGAGGAGTATTTTACATCCATCCTACAACACCCCTTTTATACCTAGCTGCTGTGAGTGAGGCTATTTGAAATTTACCTTACAGCTTCTGTAACCCTGCTGAGGAAAACCATTTATGTTTAAGCCCGTGTTTTAATTAGCAATGAAGTATATTTCTACTTTTAAATGAAAGATTGGCAGATTGCTGTAATACTACGGTGCTAGGTTTTTAAGGGAAGGATGTTTTTGTGGCAGGTTTTTGTTTGTTTTGAATTATTATTATATGAAGTCATTACTTTTTACAACATGATTTGTATTGATAACTGGAAAATATTGTGTTTAAAATTATAATAATATAAAGATATGGTACTATTCCTGTCTTTAATTATGAAGGATATGGCCAGATAACTAACATCAATTACAATAGCACTTTAAAAAGATTGTGGTCACAATATGGCATTCCCCATAAAACTATAATGAGTACATAAGATGTGGGGCCCTCTTCCCAATATACTAGTGCCTAACTAAAATCCTATTAAAGTGATGGATGAGTAGCCCTAAAGGCAGCCTTAAGAAATCATGCTGTTCCTCCATTTTCCTGAAAACTGGAAGCATTCTGCATTCTGATGGAATAAAATGAGAGTGCTTGAGTGACAGGATCTTGTGGGTGTCCTGTAAAGAGTGAGGGATTGCCCAGTGTAGAAGAACCATCCTGGATTACAGCCAAAGGAATTTAATGTATATATCCCAGGGTTTTCTGAGCAATTTTCCTGAATTATAGGTAGTACTCAATTTACAAACATTTGTTTTTTGACCAAAGTTACAACTACACTGAAAAAAGTGACTTATGACCGTTTTTCACACTTAAGACTGTTGCAGCATCCCCATGGTCACGTGATCATAATTCAGACAATTGGTAACTGGCCCATATTTATGATGGTTGCAGAGTCCCAAGGTCATGGTAACACCTTTTGTGGCTTTCTGACAAGCAAAGTCAATGGGGAAGGCAGATTCACTTAATAACCATGTTACTAAATTAACAGCTGCAGTGATTCACTTCACAACTGTGGCAAGAAAGGTTGTAAAATGGGGCAAAATTCACTTAACAATTGTCTTGCTCAAGCAACAGAAATTTGGGGCTCGGTTGTAGTCCTAAATTGAGGGCTACCTGTACAGCAATAAGCATTGTAACAGAAATGATAGCATAGTATTTTTTGCAAAAAAGCCTCTCTGCTTTCTATGCACCCCTTTAGGATACCCTGGAAATGTGCACCAAGGAAATTGAGTTTAAGTGTATTCTCTTTGCCCTCTGCTACTTCCACGCAGTGGTAGCAGAACGGAGGAAATTTGGAGCACAAGGTTGGAACAGGTCTTACCCCTTTAACAATGGAGATCTCACCATTTCCATCAATGTCCTGTATAATTACCTGGAAGCCAACGTGAGGGTAAAGTTTGTTTAACTGCTCATTTGCTTGCTAATGCTGTTATAAAATAGTAACTAAGTCTCTGCTTCCCCAATGTCTTGATTAATGACATTGTGAGGAATAAAGAAGCATAGAATAAGACGGCGTATCGTTGTGGATAGCATGCTTTCTTTTTGAGGGGAGGACTATCATGGCTTCTGGACTTTGTCAAAAGGAGTTCTCCACTTTTTGACACGGAACTGCTTTGAATGAAGTAGACTTCCAGGAACTGAAAAGTAAGACATATGTGTTTTTAATCATTTCTGTTGCATTTTTTATTTTATTTTCTTGACTCTGTTAAGAGTCCCGTGACAAGTGGGCAGCCCTACAAACTGAAATAACAAATACTGAAGATGGGGATTCAACTAGAATCCTTAAGCCTCCCGAAATCATTAAGTGTATCCCACAGCTACCAAAAGGCATTTATTTTCTTCAAATGAGTGTCAGCAGGATAAATATTTCTGCAGTCCTGAAATAAAATATTCTTTATATTACCATTCATTTTCTGGAAAAAAAAGTATTTATTTGAAAAAAACACATATTGTACACTCTAGGAACTCTGGGAGTTCCAGTCGCAACACAACAGGCTAGGTTGTGGAAGCCACCCTGGGACTATAGTCAAGTGAAAAGCTACATGCCTTTTTTATTATGAACCAAGAAATAAAGTTCTATCTGTTAATATCGCAGTCGTGAATATTGTCCACTACTCTCTAGGTGCCGTGGGATGATTTACGGTATCTCTTTGGTGAAATCATGTATGGAGGACATATTACGGATGACTGGGACCGCAGATTGTGTCGGACCTACCTCGGTGAATACATCCGCATGGAAATGTTGGAAGGCGAAATGTTTCTGGCTCCAGGATTCCTCATTCCACCCAATAGTGATTACAAGGTGAAAACAGGGTGGATCCAACTGTACAGAGAGAATCAGGCAGGATAGGGCACCCACCGGATAACTTGCCACATAAATAACCAATTTTTTAAAAAAACAGAGAAAGAGAGAGAGAGAGAAAAGTTTCACATCTTGGCATAGAGAATACAGAAAGCTAAACTGGAACAAGCCAAAGCAGTTTTTTGATGGCTATGAAAAAAGCACTTTTTAAATTGTAAGCAAGTCAGGCAGTTACTCCTGAGAGAACTATCAAATGGGAGATGTAATAATAATAATAATAATAGAGTTGGAAGGGACCTTGGGGGTCATCTAGTCCAACCCCCTGCTCAGGCAGGAAGCCTGTACCATTTCAGACAAATGGCTGTCCAGTCTCTTCTTAAAAACTTCCAGTGTTGGAGCATTCACAACTTCTGGAGGCAGGTTGTTCCACTGGTTAATTGTTCTAACTGTCAGGAAGTTTCTCCTTAGTTCTAGGTTGCTTCTCTCCTTGATTAGTTTCCATCCATTGCTTCTTGTCCTGCCTTCAGGTGCCTTGGAAAATAGCTTGACTCCCTCTTCTTTGTGGCAGCCCCTGAGATATTGGAACACTGCTATCATGTCACCCCTCGTTCTTCTCTTCATTATAGACATACCCAATTCCAGCAACCGTTCCTTATATGTTTTAGCCTATGGATAAAAGTTTTATCTATGGATAATAACTGCCCATGCTGACCTGTCTATCACATTATACAATTCTGTAGCTTCCAGTACTCTATGTAGATTAGGAAGATAATTGAAAACCTTACTGGCCTTCTTCCTGATGCGTCCAATCCATCAACTTAGGTGCACTTCATCCTTCTACCAAGAACATCATCCTTCAGGCCAGCCCTAGGCAAACTATCAAGCAAGGATGCTCTGGGTCACCCTGCTCAAATACAGAATTTACTGAACTATCAGTCCTGAAATAGAAACAGCAGCTATGTGGGGAAGGTTTCAATGAGAAAACCTATTCAACCTACAAAACCAAATCTCTAAATATAAAAAAACATTTCTTGGGAAAAGGGGAATATAGGAAAAGTAACAGAAGACATGACTCACATAGAGAATTCCAATAAAATAAACATGGCTGCCTTATTAAACCTATTCATTACTATTTGGGCATCATCCTGTTGGGAAATTGGTAAAGATATCTGCTTGGCCAGATATCTCCTTTTTTCTTTTCTTTTTCTCTAAGACTCTCCTCCTTCAGAGAATGCCCAGGAAATTGTTCTTGTTGTTTTGGTCAATCAAGGAAAATATTGTTTAATATCCCATGTTTAGCTAACCATTCAGAAAGTTGTTCTACCTAATATCCTAACAGCCCATGGAGGAATGATGAGGGTGCAGTCTAGTTCACACAAGTTGTATTGATGTAAGTAGTTGGAACAGGATTTTACGGGGAAACAAAAACTGAACTGACATCAACTTACCAGAATGTTTTAAGGTACCATAGAAAACCTAGAAATGGATACAAAGTAAATTGGAAGCTATCGGGTGAAGATCAGAATGCCCAGACTCGGCTACTTGAACAAACACATTGCTGTGTATCCACTAATATTCTATAAAATATATATTTTCACAGGGCTATCATGAGTATATTGATGAAAATCTACCACCTGAGAGTCCTTATCTGTATGGGCTCCATCCGAATGCAGAGATTGGTTTCCTCACTGTAACCTCAGAGAAACTTTTCCGCACCGTGCTGGAAATGCAACCCAAAGAATCTGATTCCGGAGGAGGAACTGGTGTGTCCCGTGAAGAAAAGGTAAGGAGGCATGTCATTTCCTGAGACATGATGTGCCATAGAAACATAGAAGACAGATGGCAGAAAAAGACCCAGTGGTCCATCAAGTCTGCCTTTTGAGTTTTGTGTTTGTTTTATGTTTTCTTTTTATTTATTTTTAATTTTTTGGGGTTTTTTTGTTTTTTATTTATTTTAAATTATTTGACCTTTTTAATTTCCCCATTTGCTCTGCCTCTCCCACTGTCAGGTCTTGTTTTGAAGAAGTTGATCGATCTCTCATTCAGATTTAAATAAGGTTGGATTGGGGTAGTATTTGGATGGCAGACGAATTGGGAATTTCCAAGGCTGTTGTCTAGACAATATTTAAAAAATAAATCCCTCAAGAAAGTACTGTCTAACCACCTCCAAAATGCTGTCAAGAAAACTACCTGGTTGGAGCCCAAGGAATCACACTCAGGAACATCTTTACCATCTTTTGGGGCTCTGATGGGCTAGGCTTAGCTCTCCTTTGACCACAAGGACATGAGGAATAAAATAAAATGACTTGATCATTCATGTTAATTTGCTTTCACAGCAAAATGTTACAAGCAATAAAAACGTACAATTGGCCTTTTTGTGTGTCAGGTAAAAACAGTGCTAGATGAGATCCTGGATCGTCTTCCAGAGCCCTTCAACATGATTGAAATTATGGCAAAAGCAGCTGAGAAAACACCATATGTGGTCGTTGCTTTCCAGGAATGTGAACGTATGAACATCCTCACCAGTGAAATCAGACGCTCTTTGAAAGAACTGAACTTGGGACTGAAGGTGACTGCATATTACATACTCTTGCTGGTGCCATCTCCAATGACACAATGATCAGCTATTCAGCTGGTGTACTGACACAGAAAAAAGATGAATGGAAAATTATTTCTTGATAATATATCAGATCAACAAGATTCAGTTGGTAAACAAAAATGCCCTTCTGCTGAATTTAATCCTTTCTGTAACATCAAAATGGCTTTTGGTTTTCTTCTCTAGCAAATTACCCTTACCCTCAACCTCATTGGTTTATCCCTACCCCCCACCCCAGCTCTTTCTCTTGCGTTCACTTTCCATTCATCCCATCTGCCTCCCGTTTTTCCCCTCATCTCTTTTTTTGCTGTTCTCATAGGGAGACTATATGTATACTGACAAGTTATCTGTGCAGATGGGACTCTATATTAGGCAAATTTAACCAATCATCAATTAATTTGGGGGGGTCCTTGTTCTGCTCTTGGGATTGCATGCTCATATGCAAAACAAGACTGCCACTCACACACGCAGAGGGCGAGAAATCAGCTGAGGTGGTCAGCTTTAGTTGACAAACCAGGGACGCACTGAATTTAATTTGCACGTATTAAATCTACTGTTTCCTTTTGGGTGAATAATTTTAAATTCAGCATAGTTTTCCTTTTGTGTAATTATGTAGTGAACACAAGTTTGTGTGTTTACATATGTGAAAATTGAGGGAGACAGATCCAAAGTGTGGCCGATATAATTTCATGTACTAGTAATTGCTTACCTTCAGTATATTTATAGAAAATGTATTGTCTGGGCTTTAAAGTATTTTGGTCTCCAAGCTGGTGGAGAACATGCCTAATTATGAGGGATATTAGCAGGCATTGGGCTGAAAACTAAGGTAGTTTAAAGTTGTGGGTGTGAGTGGGTGGGTGTTTAAACATTATGTAGAATATGTCTTCAGGAGGCTTAGTGCAGTAATGTAATGGTGCTGTGTAAATATTTCATTGTGCATTAATGCAGCTGCATCTTCTGGAAGGTTCACATGGCTGCTTTAAAAGCTGTCTCTGGTTGTTGGCAGGAATCTGTACAGGAACAAACAACTCTTCTCCAGGAATTGCCAGCACAAGTCTTCAAAACAGCTGTATGAGCTTTCCAGAGGGCATAGACATTTTAATGTTTTAAGCATGTGTGCTTTATTGTATTAATAAAGATTAGTAAAAAGAAAAAGATTCCTTTTAAATGCTTAGTTGGGAGTTAAAAGCTAAAGTTGCTCAAAAATGTGGGCATTGCTTCTCCTTTGAAACTCTATAGCACAAGCATTCACAAACTAATTTTTAGTGTTGAAAACCATGTTTGTGTATGCTATGCATATACTTTTGATTCATATTACAGTCATCATCTAATTTCAGCCCTGGCAATTATAACAGTAACTGGGAAAATAATCTTATTTTCTCAGTAGTGTGTTGGGAAATTTAAACTGCCACACGGTACCATAATTAACTTGAGGAGGAAATGCTAAAAGTTCTTGTAAGAATTTGCTTATTGGATAATATAATATTGAGAGGACCTTAGTTAACATTCAGAGAATCAAGACCCAGTGGGATGCCATTTCCTTAGTTACACTGAAAATTATTCAAGTAGACAATATGTTCAGGCAGGATATTCTGATAATGGCAACAACCAATTTAAAACTTTTACTTTCTCCAAAGGGCGAGTTGACAATAACAACAGACATGGAGGAATTATCCAATGCTCTTTTTTATGACAATGTACCCGAATCCTGGACAAAACGTGCTTACCCATCTTTACTTAGTTTAGCAGCCTGGTATGCAGATCTACTGCTCCGGATCAGGGTGAGGACCATGAGGCTGTTTTAAGTACTTCGTTGTAAAATTTGCTGTAAATTCTTAAGGCTGATTTTTTCCACAAAGCTGAAAACCTGCCCTTAAGCATTGTTCTCCTATTGGGATCTTGTTTGCTGAGCCTTGTTTTCTTCTGGCAAACCTTTCTGTACTATACTAGGTAACATTGTCAGTTCTCTGATACAAGGGAGACCGGTTTGCTGGCTTTTTATGAGTAGCAGCTTGTCCTACCTGTCTTGATTAGGAATGTTGTAGATTGTCTGCCTGTTTCCGATTTGTTTTCCTAGTTTGATTGGCTCTATTGTTTCACTGAGAATTGCTCCTACCTATTGTGTTCTCACTTAACCTATTTAATTTCTGGATATAAGGATGTGCCTCAGGCTGCTTGCTTCTTTGTTGGTTCACTGCTGTTTTAAAATAGTTTATACACTGGGATTTTATGTGTTTGTTAATGGCTGATCAATCAGAATGCTAGGCTTTTACAAATTCTCTTGCATTGATCTAAAACAGTTTCCCAGGTGGATTTATGGTTGCATTTGTCTATGTGCTGTGAAATTAAAGAATCATCATTGTGTCTTGTAAGAACTAGTTTAAAGATGCGTTCTGATAATCTGATTGTTTTTTCTACATGGAGGCATTCAGAGTCATTGCACTATATCTTGCAAATCATTCTGTCTGTTCTGTCTTCTTCATTCATTGGGTCTTTGGGGTTGTGCTTCAAATGTTTTGGAGAGATTTTGTTGGAGTTTTTTTTATTTCTCTGATTTCTAGCAAATGAAGTAAACCGCTTTCGATTTTTAAATATTTTTTGATGCATGGGAGAATTAATCTTTTCATGAGTTGTGGTGGTTGTGTACTGGCTGGCTGCATAAAAAGATAACTTTTTTCTATTTTGTTAATGTAATCTGTTGCTTCTCTTTGAGGTTCTTGGCTGTATAGCATCCTTACACAGCTTTTATTGTGGACAGTTGAACAAAAAGACAGCTCTCTTCATCTGGATTTTTGCTATCACACAAATCTCAAAGTGTCTATTCCAATTTGTTCAGCAAATTTTATTTAATAGATCTTCCCATTCAAGCTGTATTTTTAAGGAATGCACAGGGAGAAATAAAGCTGGAATATAAAGAATGTGCAGTCCTTAACATGCTTATCTATAAAACACCATCACTGTTTTCATTTCCAGGAGCTGGAGGCTTGGACCACAGATTTTGCCCTGCCTACAACTGTGTGGCTAGCAGGCTTCTTCAATCCTCAGTCTTTTCTGACTGCCATTATGCAGTCCATGGCTAGGAAGAACGAATGGCCTCTTGACAGAATGTGTCTCTCAGTGGAAGTTACCAAGAAAAACCGAGAAGATATGACAGCTCCACCTCGAGAAGGTTCCTATGTTCATGGGCTCTTCATGGAAGGTACAAAACATTCGTATAGTAGTGTAGATAAGATATGGACTTCGTTTCATGTGACCCTTAGTTTACAGCTTACAGCCAGCCATTGGTAGTTTCTTCCACAACAATTTGCTGAACAGACAGGAGAAGGAGAAAGAAAATAATTTTGGAAACAGAACTTGGTTCTTCTATTTTCAGACTTAACTTTGAACTAAATAGGTAAATTACTGAGAAAGAGATTTATTTTCAGAATGTTGTTTTCAGGCTTTTTCTACAATGTTGCATCTGTTATACAATTCTGTAACGAAGAAAAATAAAAGAATACAGGTGCCCATTTCACATTCTCCAAAATTAAAGAACAGGGCAGGATTCTTCAACTACTGCTCAATGACAGCTTCTATAATTACCATGGGAACACTGAGAGTTGCAGGCCAATATATCACGAATGCAATGGCTTTGAGTAACTTGGAAATTAAATTTCCTCTTTGGTAGTTTAAGTCCCGACACCTGGTCACTGCATGGATGAATATTCATTACCTCAGCCTGACCCCTAGTGCATCTCATAGCTATTCCAAGGACAGTCCTGTCATTTTTTTGATCCATCTATCCACAACATGATTTTTTTTTCCCTAGCCCATCACCTACTTGCTTCGGTTGTTGATCGTTGCTACAAAAGAACAGTCAGTTTTACTTTGGTCCGGGTTTTATTGAATGATTATTGCAGTCTGTGGTACCCTTATTCATCATCTCCAGATTTATAATTCAAAGACAACTATATTTCTATTTCTCTCTTTTTTTTTCAGTGTCCAACTTTCATACTATTTAACAGAAATTATGCTAGAAATCAGTCACTAAGCAATATTATTTGCACCTACAGCAGAAACATAATTAATTCTCCAAATTCATTCTGATAAATAAATATTTGACACCCACCATCACCACCGACCAAAAAGATAAACAAGATGTTTGGATAGCTGCCTGTTTTATTTCATATCGGTAGAGGGCAGCAGATGTCCATTTCATTATCACACCCAGCTGTATTAAAAAGCAAGAGGACAGCTTTCTACTTTGGGGATGTTGCATCTAAGATACATTTTTTTTTCTTTTTTAGAAGCTGTTTTTTTAAAGTTGAGCTAAACAAGCCTGTGTATAAATGGACTTTATGTTAAAAGAACTTGTAGGAGTGCACAACTTTCTGTAATAAAAGAATAGCTGCTATATGCCAAGTGCAGGGTATGAATCCAATTGTTTATAGTCTTGTAAAATATATAAGTGTAGCATCAAAAGCATGTGCAAGCCAAAGTCTAGCATGTAGCCTTATTGAAAAAGTTAGCGGGTTGATAATCGTGCAGATTCTCCTTCCTTAGCCTTGCCGCAAAACAACTGATCTTGAGAGTACTGTCCCATATTGTTGCAGGTGCACGCTGGGATACTCAGACCGGGGTCATCAGTGATGCACGCCTGAAGGAGCTGACGCCTTCGATGCCAGTCATTTTCATCAAGGCCATCCCTGTGGATCGCATGGATATCAAGAACATGTATGAGTGTCCTGTGTACAAGACACGCACAAGAGGCCCCACCTATGTCTGGACTTTTAACCTGAAAACAAAAGAGAAGCCGGCTAAGTGGATTCTTGCTGGAGTTGCTTTACTCTTACAAATTTAATGTCTGACAGAGTTTTGTCCACTCCATCATGGCACTTTTATCCCTTCCTAGAAACCCCAAGCAAGGTAATTGTTTCAAAATAAAAATTATTTTAAAGTACATCTGGCCTGATGTTCCTACTCAAGTGATCATTAACAACGCTGTTCCTATATTTAATTATTCTCCGTAACAGAAAGCTTGTCTGGTCGAGTTGCAGTTCTGCAAGAGCATACAGAAAGAAAGAAAAACAAGACTGTGCAATAGCTATCACTTACAGCTTATGGCTTAGCCTAGACATCTTCACCTTCCTGGCCATATGTGGAACTTGGGGGAAATGTTACTTGCACTTTCAAGGGTAGCTAGTCACAAAACTCATTTCAGGAACTAAAACCTGGTCAATCTAATAGTGAAATATTCTGCTCAAAACTCTGAACACAAGTTACAAATGGAATCTAAATCACTTTGAACCTCTCACCCAGCACCTGTTTATCCTAATGATCAACATTTCTCTGTATAAACACTAAGACCTGTTCCTGCTTTGTCATCTTGGATTGCCTTTATTAACCTACTAGATTATTTCTGAAGCTGTCTGTTAGGTCATGCCCATCCAGCCCAATCTTTCCACTTCTGCTTCCCGCAATATTGGCTCACCACCAGATCTAACTTGGATCGTTGTCTGGCTCTTCTCCCTGGTGTCTCCTGCCTGGTGTCCAAACATTCTTGTAATGAAACAGCTCTGGCATGTTTGAAATTGCACAGCCAGCATTCCTAAAAAATACCCAATGCTTTTCAGGACATTATCACATTTCTATTCAAAAAAGACTCTGTTATGGTGTCCCAAAAATGTAAATAAACAAACTTACACTTATCCAGGGAAATTATACTATTTGTACAATGAATGCATTTTCTCCTGTCTACTTGCTTTGTTCATTCACCAGAAAGAGGGACAGCTGTCAGTCAAAACAACTTGACCAACCTAACACTTAATACACCTACCCACCCCCCTCTAATTCTTGGATGTTCCTGACTAACTCACTGCAACAAGATAGACACTTAGAGATTCCTGGAGTGTTAATGCAGCATTCCTGAAGTTTTAGGAATCTGATTACAGATATTAATAAGCAACATTATGCTTATTTGATTAGCAAAAAACTCATTTATTCCTCCACATTATGTTTATTATGAACAAAATACCCAGATATATCCTTAACTTTTTTTAGTCTTACACTAGAACAGTGATGGCGAACCTTTTAGAGACCGAGTGCCCAAACTGCAACCCAAAACCCACTTATTTATCGCAAAGTGCCAGGGCCGCATCAGCATTGTGATGCCGTCGGGGGGGGGCATGACCCACTGGGTGGGAGTGGCTGCGGTGGTGACGGCAGACTGAGTGGGCGTGGCCGGGGTGGGCATGGCCACCTTGATGTTGCTCGTGGGTGGGGGACCCTTGTGGGGGCTGGGAAGGATTGGGGGAGGTGTAAATGGTCTCTGGTGGGTGGGGCGGTGGGCAGGAGGCTCATTCTGCGGGGTGAGGCAGGGGGTAGGGCAGGGGTGCCATTGCTGCGGGGCAAGGCGAGGCCAGCGAGCGCATGGGGGCGTGCTCTACAGCCTCTACTTGAGCTTGCTAGCCAGCTGCTTCGCCTCCTTTGTGCTGGGTGGGGCTGCCGCTCCGGGCGCCAGCAGTGGCCTAATGGACCTGCGCGAGCTGGCAGCGGCAGGTGTGTCCACAGAGAGGGCTCTGAGTGCCACCTCTGGTACGCGTGCCATAGGTTCGCCATCACTGCATTAGAAATCACTCTTTAGAGCAGACGTTAGCGGCAAATCTAGGCATCTGATAAAAGGTACACCAATCTTACTGAAAGGCTGTTTACTATCAAAATACAAAAGTAATACTGTAGTCTTTGATTAAAAGTGGTATCATGAAGCTTTATGCCTGGGACACAAAGACTTCTTCTGTATGTGATGCTCATCCACTTCACTTCTGTGCCCAGCTCCAAACTGGCCTACTTATCTCATGTTGCATATATGTTCTCACAACAGAGCCTTCACCTCAGTGCCAGCCCACTGCTGTCAAACTAAAGCCACAGCAAAGCAATCTGGCGGGAACATTGTTGCTTTCTATTGAAAATAAGAAAAAAAAACCACCCTTTTTGTGGTTTTTGGGAGGGCTGGCATGTGGCAAGTGCCCCTTCCTAATTAATTCTTGTCACCACTTCCACCACCTCTTTGCATGCTTTCATCTTCCCAAAAGCCCTGGGCATGGAGAAATGCAAAGGCCAGATTTTTGCAGAAAAGCTGAGAAAAAGGCAACAATGATGAACAAATGAGGGAAGTTAGAGTAAGGCCTGGAGTAATGTTTTGCTCTCTTCCTTCCCCCTCTCTTCCTTCTGTCTCATCCCCATCATCCTGTCACACCAAGAGAGGAAAGCACTGCTTTCAGCACAAAAGCAGCAGCAGTGGCTGCGATGTGAGGGCGGCAACACCACAAGTCTTGTTCCTGAGACAGAGTAAAGGACCACTGTATTTCAGGATCTGTTAACAAGGAAAAGGAGGAAAGCACACTGAAGCAACGGGATGGATGATCCCATTCAGAAGAAGAGAATTTCCACTCCTCAGCAATTCACAAATCAGTTTCAGACATTACAGTCAAACATTATTAAGGAGCAAAGACTATCGCAGAACTGCCTGTAAGCTCATTCTATCTTTTTTCCACTCAGCAATTGAAAACAATTATCTGAAGAATTATGCAGGGCTATTAACTCAGACAACTCTGCTCAGCAGAAGCTCTGCAGTTCGCTGTGTGAAAATTAAATCTTGCTTCCTTGGCAATTCAGAGCATGCATCAATTTTCAAAGCAGATTTTTAACAGGCAAAACTTATGTACTTCAACATTTAAAATGGCATGTATTAACAGCATAATAAAATCATAATTTCCCCCTCCATAACAAAGCAATCTATTTATTCTTCTTTCCTTGTAGCAACTTTGTTACAAAGTCTTTTCTTCTTCTGTTTTGCTCTTAGTATTAAAAGCCAAAGCAAGGGAAATAACGATCCACTCTGTTCACAAAGTAGATATTATTATTATTTTTAAAATCTACCATGGTTGGAATCAAACAACAGAGGAACTTGGTTGACCAGAACATATTTCAAATACATCAAGATGCAATCTTAAATCAGCAGCACAGGAGGTTCTTTAGCTCCTTTGAGTTACAAAAAAGGAAACCGTGTGAATTTTGCTTATAGAAAGGGAAACAAAACAAATAGCACTTCAGAGAGAAACCGAAAAGGGTACAACCACTATACTCTCTTTCCCCAACTGCCAATTCAATCTTGCTAATGCCATTTAAGACCAAAACCATGAATTCTCTCCTCAAAATCTGGACTAACTTGGTGCTTCAATGCAACCCCCTAGGAGCAGGGGTAGGCAACCTTGGCTCTTTTATGACTCGTGGACTTCAACTCCCAGAATTCCTGAGCCAGCAATGAGGAATTCTGGGAGTTGAAGTCCACAAGTCATAAAAGAGCCAAGGTTTCCTACCCCTGCCCTAGAGCATTGAATTACAATCACATCAAGAATTTTTTCCTCCTTAGTTTTTGGATGAAGGGCTTATCAATACCAAGTACTAGGAATAATTTTCTCTTTAGTCTTCAGAAGTGAGATGTTCTGATGACAATGTCCAGGCTCTCCTTTGTTGGCTCCTCTTTTTTTTTGGCATCATTTTCCAGCCAATTTATTCCCTCTGTTGCCCCACTCCAAGTATAATAATTTTACTACATTATTTTGCTTTCTAAAGAAAATTGTAGCCAGAAGCTGAAAACTGCATTCCACCAGCTATTGTTATAGTTCAATTCACATTATTTCTGAGTAGCTATGCTGGCTGGAGCTGAGAGAAGACAGGGCTCAAGAATATCCGGAGAACTGCAGATTTCCCTCCCTTGCACTATTTACATACACTGGGGGGGATTATTTAATATGGCTAATAGATTAATATATTCAAATTACTTATACTTAAAATCTAAAAATTACTTTCTTGGAATCTAGTGTTTCTTACTTCTTAATGCCGCAGAAGAAGTCTATGAGTCTATGGTACCAAAATATCAGAAGGAACGAGGTAGCACTTTTTCCAACTAACAAATTTGTTAATTGGGGGCTACCAGAATTCTTCTGATATCTGATAACCTGCATCTATTCAAAGGTACAACAGAATTAGATTTGTGCTACCTCTCGCTATTCTGTACTGTTCTAAAGAAGCACACAACAGATGATGAGTGCAGTATTTAACTATCTAAGAGCATCTCTTTTGTTAAAAATACCCTTCTTACAAATGAGAAAATACATATGTAAAACTATTTAGACATTATTAAAAAAAACCTTCTTAGATACTTCTAGTATCTAAGAAACAGGTATTCGTTTCCTTTTATATGTCCCCACGGTTCTCAAACCCAACATAAAATTCTCAAATAGCTAAAGTAGCATTTGGATTATCTGAGAACATAAATTTATGCAGCACTAATTGATCACAAATCTTGTAATATTAATTACTAAACAGAAGATCCATATAATCTTCTGAGCTTTCTTTTTCCATGAAGCAGATTATGGACAGCCTTTTTCTCTTCCTAAAGGGAAATCTTCAGGTTCTTTTAATGACTAATTTCTAGCCATATGAAAAGGAACAGGCCCAGCAATTAAATCTATTTCCATTTTGGGTTGAAACCAACTTGTGGAGTTCTTAAGTATGCTCAGTTTCACAAATGAGTAATAGGCCCTAAGGCTCACCCATTAGTTGAGAAGCCTTTTTGAGCAATGTCTCCTCCCAAAATTTAAGTCCTCCAGGCATCCTTCTATTGAAAGAAGGCTGACTCGTGGGTGCCCCTACCCAGTAGATTCATTCTTGGATAAGCCTACTGTATGTCTATTTACTCTCAACAATACAGAATTTTATGCTTTCCTGTACTTTCATGAATCCTTATTTTAATTTTGAATTTCTGGGGACAAATTTTCTCACTGCGGAAACAATAAAAATCAATACAAAATTCTTTATTCACTCCCATAATGTATATATTTATGACAGAAAAATGATAGCTGATACTTATTAAAATACATTATTGTGCACCAAAAGAACATAAGTGAAAGGAAATTATTTATACAATGTTCAAGTTAAATACACAGCAGAGTAGAAAGCAAAATTTAGTTCTCTATTTTGCTCTGGTTAAAATATGCCTCACTGTTCCAGCATATTTCTGCTTATGAGAAGTAGGTAACAAGAACCTAATATTATTACTTCAACAAAGCTGAGTTGCTACCTTACTCTTTGAAAGAGAGCTCTCCATTTAAAAGGCTTATTTTTGTTTAAATAAGACAAAAATGTACAGAAATGTATTTGTACCTTTTCTTAACATGCATATTTTTTTACTCAAAAGGAGCAGGGATTTAAAGGCACATTCGCAAACTTACACAATTTTCATATATTTTGTACCCTTACAGACTCAAAATTCTTAAAAACCAAAATAGTTCCACAAGTGAATTTAAAGTTGTACAGACAGATCCAGTTATTTTACATACTTTAAACATTTCCCAGAAGAATCTGACCTATGATTGTGAGAGTTGACACCAAGAACTGGAGACTGTACAATGTTTAGGAAGATTACACATTGTAAAAGTACACTAAAATGAAATCAGTATCTACGCATTTCCTGTTAATTGAAGGGCTTCCCAATAAGAGGAAGCTATAAAAAGCCACATATGATACTCACCAAGAAGACCTGCCTCCCTTTATTTCAGAAGAAGTTCTTAATCAGAGGCGTCAACATCTTCACCCACAGCTTGACATAGCGACTTGGCTGATCAAATGTTGAGGAGGACACTGTACTAGAACGAGAGTAAAGTTGCTCCTGCTCCTAGAGTAAGAAAATTACAACTTGAATTTCAACATTTGCTCTAATCAGAACCTCCTGAACTTTAGCCCACCACTGCTACTCAAGAACCAACAAATCTTGCTAGAGTTGACTACCATCCTTGTCTAGCTTAACTGTTTTGAATCAAAATCAGTGTGATCAGAGTCCTGGTATTTCATCCCAGCACATTATTCTCCTAAAATGTGATCACAAATTTGACACTTCGGTTTGCCAAAACTTTGCAGAGCTTGGCATCTCAGATGCTAACTGAGCCAAACCCCAAGTAATTGCAAACACAGAACCCAACCCACATATGTATACAAACATACAAGGAGGAATGCATTGCAAGATTGGCCCTACGGTTATTCTTTTTCCCGTAACACAGCCAAGCCCTGAGCTATAATTGTCCAAAAAGGAAACCCAGCTTTAATCTCCAGAGACTGGGCTGCTCATTTCTCTTCAGAAAAAAAATCCAAGGCTCCTTTCAAAAACTAATGTGCCGTCAAGGTTTCAATGTGGTTCCCAGAAATGTTAAGCTCTTTAAAGTACAAACAGTACAGCTGGAAGGAAAAGTGAATGCTCTTATTACAAAAGCATACACATGATATTTGAAAACGGTGTTTACAACACATAAAGATTTCATCTAAATTAATAAAACAGACAACTATACATAAAGAGCTATGACATCATTATGGGAGTCCTGCCCACCTTCCACCAAGCTCCACAGTTCTATTCTCAATTCTTAAAATGACATGTTTAACTCCAGCTAAGCCTACGTAGCCTACATCGCTTAGCCTATGCAAATGGCATTGCTATTCTCTTTTTTCTTCCTTTATCCCTGCAATCTAGATCCCATCGGGGTTTAATAAGACCAAGTTTTAGAAAAAAATAAACGGATCCCATTTAACACTTGAACACTCCACAATATTGCTTCCTATTTTACATCATAATTGTGGCTCAAAAGAATGCAGTTGGAAAAATCCTAAGGGCGATTAATTGAAGCTCTGCTGAGAGTGAGAAAACCATTACAGAGAGAAAGGCCGGCTTCACAGAATGTGCTGCCCCAGGTGACATGCTCCATTCCGAGGGTCATCATCTATACAGCATACAAAAAAGACTGAGGAATGACCATATAGGAAATAGAACTCTTTCAAAAGCTTTAAGTAAATATTCATTTCAGCACTTCTGTTTGGATCCATCGGAACGACCACAGGATTAGACTTTTACTTTCAAAAGAAATTCAGAAAAGTTAACTAAATTAGTTATAGAATATGAGAAATAAAAAAAAATGACAAGTACAGCTTCCCTTAGAGCTATCTAGAAAAAATACAGGTAATGCTTGCTTAACTACAGAACTTGGGAATGGCAACTCTCTCTCATAAAGTTGAATGTCGTGTGACTGTGCCAACTTAGGAAGGCAGTTGAGAAGCCCTGGCTGCCGTTGTTAGGTGAACCCTGCGTGGTTGTTAGGTACAACGTTATGCGATCATCATTTACAACCTCACTGAATTTGCTTGTCGGAAGCCAGCAGTGAAAGACACAAATGTCAATCCTATGACCGTGGGCTACTATTACCATTGTAATGTGAACCAGTTGCCAAATGCCTCAATCATTATCATGTGACCATAGGGATGCTACAGGGAGGCTAAACCCTATGAAGAACAGCTGCTGGAATTGGGTATGTCTAGTTTAACGAAGAGAAGGACGAGGGGAGACATGATAGCAGTGTTCCAATATCTCAAGGGTTGCCACAAAGAAGTGGGAGTCAAGCTCTTCTCCAAAGCGCCTGAAGGCAGGAAAAGAAGCAACGGATGGAAACTAATCAAGGAGAGAAGCAACCTAAAACTAAGGAGAAACTTCCTGACAGTTAGAACAATTAATCAGTGGAACTTGCCTCCAGAAGATGTGGATGCTCTAACCCTGGAAGTTTTTAAGAAGAGATTAGATAACCATTTGTCTGAAATGGTATAAGGTTTCCTGCCTGAACGTGGGGGATTAGACTAGAACACCTCCAAGGTCCCTTCCAACTCTATTATTCTGTTATGCTGCAATGGCCGTGATTACAAGACCAGTCATAAGTTTACTCATTCAGCACCATTGTAAGTCTGAATGGTTACTGAACAATTATTGTTAAACCTGTACAAACAATAAGCAAGTCAAAGACTGCTTTTTACAGCACAAGAAATGACAGCAATTTGTGTGCTTTAATTCCTCCAGTTTGTCTCAGGCTTCTGAAACACCCCTCTCACTTTTCTAACCTATGGAACAAGGCATCAAAAATGAAACAAAATAAGATAAAAATAAAGGAGGATCAAGTCCATCCTCTAACAAAAAGAGTTACAATTATGGAAATGGCAAAGTCTTTTTTTTGTGTCACACAAGATTACAAAAATTGTGGTATGTGGTGGCATGAACTACACCAGTTTCCCTTTCCCTCTTCCCAAAGAGAAATTCCTGCCACTTCCTATATTTCTGAAGTGTTGCACAAAGTAAAAGGGTATCTTCCTTCCCAACCCCCCCACCCACAGATGCCGCAGAAATAGGGGAGGCATATAGAAAGGCTGTTTTTTCCCTTACATTTTACACATATCAAAAGTGTAGCAAAAGATGCATTATTTCCACTGCTTCTGACTTCCACAAAACCAGATCAAACGATCAAAAGAAGTTTCCTTGAAACATCTGATATAAGTAAATAAAATGGGTCAGGGGAAGGTTCAGTTCTGACTACAAGCAAGTTGCAGACTAATACAACAAAACATACAGCCTCAATGTGCATTATTTCTGTGGTTCTGCTGCAAAGAAACTAGGTAAATCTTAACTGACTGAATATTGAATATTTATATAGTTCTGGTTCTCAAGGGGACATTCAGATCGGTTTGAAGGGTATTTGCAATATGCAAAAGAGCCCAGAATAATTATCATTTTATTAAACAAGTCTAGATTAAACAATTTACAAGGGTAATGCACAAAATATTTACTTGTTGTAGAAGAAAGATTACAGCCCACTCTGATTTGTGGGAAGAAAGCCAGGAAGAGACAGGAATTTTATCTCGTATTAGAATTAACTAGGCTTATGAGTTATCTAAACACCGGGAGCTACTGGAAACAGTTTCTAGAGATTTTGCTTGGGAAGCGAAGCGTTGCTACATTTCCCTGCAACCACCCTCAGATGGGAGAACCGCATCAGAAAAAGTCAGCTGAATTAATTTACGACCAGAATAACTGTACTTTCACATTTTTCTCATGCTCTCTTCAAATTCCTGGGTCAGCTTCTTATTCAGAATTCTTCCAGCACTCAACTATTTAAGGTAGTGGATCTTTAGTGAAAAGTCATGAAAACAGCCTTTTGTCGATTTCAATTATTTATTTATTTATTTATTTATTTTTTAAAACCTTCTCGTCACACCCAAACCCTCAGCCCTATGAAGGAGGGCCAGTGCTCAAAAAACAGAGTCCGTGTGCTACAAACCTGATGGAACTGCTGCTGTAGGGCTTTGTTTTCTGTCACTATTGCAATCTGTGCTTCCAGGTCACGATGAACTGACCTGTACCCAAAATTAGGAGAACCAATCAAAGTTAAGCAGGGCAGGCTGCTTCCTGCTAGGTACAACCAGAGGCCTGCAAGGAAACATAGAAAGGAAATATGGCAGACAGAGGAAGTGACCAGGATAGTTGTTAGGTGCTCCAAACAATTGTTTGTTATCCAAAGGCATGGTAACAAAGCATACTGAACATTTTGTTAGGTTTACCAGCAGTGTAAATCATTAAAGTGAGCAACCAGGAAATAGGGACGCTTCCCGCCAGAGATTATCATACAATTCATACGAGAATTAGCCTCTTTCAGCTTGCACAATGCAATCTCCACATGGTGCAGACCATGTTTTAATTTCCATTACTACATTCCAGCTGTCGCAAGCCTAACTAATGATCCAGGCCCCAATATTATACTTACCATATTTGAAAATAAATAATTACTGCGAAACAAGTTAGAATTGAAGCTGTTTTAGCAATTCTTAATAAGAAACTATAAAACAGCTCCTTTTATGTTATTACGATAAACGGGCAGGGGAAAAAACTACACCAACTGGAACTCCTGCAGAGTACAATGACTAAATAAAAACTATCAAATATAGGCTACACTGTGATTACCCCCAAAATGCTTTGCTTAATTTTTTTACAATGATATCAACATCAATAAAAAATCATAAAGGGCTAATGGTAATCATATCTGAAAAATGATTTGGGGATCTGGGCAGGAAGGAGAAAAGGCTTCCCTTCAGAAATTATACAGTGTGGCTTCCACATGCATAGATAAAATTAAGTTCATTTATTTCAAAAGTGAACAGCTCTTAAGCAATCAACTCCCCAGCAACACCTACTTGTCAAGCTGTTCCAACCTGAAGCAGACAGCAAGAATGTCCAAACAATATTTCTAACACTGTATTTTACTTGTGCAATTCACAACACAAACAATACAACTCACATTCTGAGAACATTTTCCCACTGGAAAAATATATATTAATATTTTAAAGAAAACTCTTTTAATGCCGCATTATGATAGAAGCCATTATAGAATCAGAAACAAATTTATCTCTGCATTTCTAATTCTAATGGTCATTCTGGTAAATAGAAAAATAAGATGCAGGGTTTTTTTGGATAAACAAGCCAACCTTCATTGCATCTTTAAAACGTATCATGATCACAGTAGATATGCTTTAATACAGATGCTATACTTTCAGCTGAAATAACGAGCAACCAACAGTTTTGATAGCTCTTTCTGAAAACTGGGGCTCCACCCAGGCAGTTACCTTTTTACCACTCTACCACATCGACCAGGACAAAAGTTGCACACACCCATTTTGCATGGTTTCCTATCTTCTAATCTCTTCCTCTTTACATATAAAAAAGGAGAAAGCAATATTCCAAAAACACCTATAATAACTACCCCAAACTCCCAAACACACATGCAATCAAGAAGCTTCCCTGCAGGCTAGGATCTAATTCATATCACAGCAAATAAATGAAACAAGAGCAGAAAGGGTCTGCATCTTTACTTATGGAGGATTGATTCATTGGCCCCTTATTTTTATTTTTAAAAGGGAATGGGGGATAGGCTGCTGGAAAGTGACCATTTTGCCATTGGAGTTCCGTGGTGCAACCTGGAAGAGCTGTGAGGTTCACACTTCACCTATGAGATGTGGTTTGCCAGCACTGACAAGTTTTGAAAATTAATCCTGATACTATTAATGAGGTGAGTACAATGTTGCAGTTTGCGTGCAAGCAACTGACTGCTGAAGAAAACACACTTTTACAAGTTGCATTTGAAGAGCCTGCAGTGCAGTAACATCTAATGAATGAATTTTGCTGCTGAAACTTAAGAGTTTAAAACATCTATTCGTTTTCTGTTAAAGTGCCATTAAAAGCATAGGAAAATTAAATGACCAAGTTACTGCAACCATTTTATTAAATTTGATTCTTCTTTTAAGGTAAATAAGCCCTTCCAAGTTAGCCATTTCCTTTATATTTCTGCTTTTGTTTTCTTGCACCTGAAATAAAATTAGTCACCCAGACACACTGAGTTGAGCCACAAATTATTTTTCTATTACTCTAAATATTCCATATTCTTCTATCCTCCCTGCATATCGTTGTTTTAAAACAAACAAGGACCCTGATTGTCCAGCTGCTCCAACCGATGGCTCTGAGCACAACCTACAATGCAACTCAGCAGAAGTGAGGGAAAGAGCTGCCTGCTGGCCCACTGGACTCTGACAGAAAAGACCCCGGCATTGTTTTTGTCCTTACGGACCAGGCAGAAGATGGGAAGCCAGAAGCCAGGAGACTGCCTACTGTAAGAGGCGATTAGTCTTGGGACTATGCCAACCTGATTTTGCTCAGGTCATGACTCACCTTTCCAGGAGGAAAATATAAAGAATGTCTCACTTGTCACTCAGTTGCAGAAGACGTTTACCTCAGCACAAGGGATACTTTGCCCCCAGTTGCATAACTGACGGCAAACCATTTTTCCCTGCAAGAACATACTTGCCTCTCCTAAGAGGTGCTTACCACTAAAACCTTTATTTACCTCAAGCCTCCTCACCTAATCTCATCTCTCCCTCCACAGCCAGATTCCAAGACAGGAATCTTAAATGTGCTTTCCCAAACTAGTAAGGAAAAGATATTACTGCCTCTTACTCAACTTGGTTTGGTAAGCTGATGAATTCTTGGTAGTCCTAATTACTAAGAGAGCTTTACAGTTTTTTAAGCTGACACGTCTTATCTAAAACTCTAGCCAGCACAACACACTGGCCAGCACAAGATGGAATGTATCAAGAATGAGAAACTCTTCTTCCATTCAAATTTGCAGCACCAAGAAATACATGGAATTGTGACTCTGTATGGCAACTGCGCTTGCAATGTTTTTGCTTTGCGTGTAGACTTTATTTTCAATTGCCATTGCTCAGTCAAAGTAACTCAGGATAATGTCAATGCCCATGACATTATCCTGAGCTACTGTAGAATCAGCAGCTTTTTAAAGTATAGTGCAGTGGTGGCGAACCTATGGCACGCGTGCCAGAGGTGGCACTCGGAGCCCTCTGTGGGCACACGTGCCATTGCCCCAGCCTCGCCTCCCCCCATGACCCCCTCCTCACCAGCAACCCCCCTGGAGGAGAGTCGCCCCCGAGCGTGGCCCACGCAGAGCAGCACAGCCAAGGACATGGCAGCCAGGCAGAGTAGACAAGACTCTGCCCTCACGCCCCATTGCGCACAGTTGATGCTGCGGGGCGTGGGCAGAGGGTGTGGCCACCATGGCGCTGCTGGGCTGCCTGGGCGATCTGCAGCAGGCCCTGGAAGCGGTGAGTGGCCCTGCGGACAGACGGGGTGGGGGTGAGGGCGGGGTGGGACGGAGCGGGGGCAGGGCAGGGGGTGGTGGAGCGGGGGCGGGACCAGCTTTTGGGCACTCGGTCTCTAAAAGGTTCGCCATCACTGGTATAGTGTGTATTTCACATCTCTGTTCAATGGAAGAAACATTGAATCATAGAATGAGGAAAGCCATGTCATGTGTAGTTAAATGACAAAAGTATGAAGGCTTTGGAGAGAGAAAAAATCAGGGGGAAAAATTCATGAGGACCCCCAACCCACCCTCCTTTCACAGCATGGAGAAAATAACCAAAGTCCTCCTTTGTTTTCTTATTTTTCCTGGTCCTCATATCTCTAAAGAGGCTTGCAATAACGGAGCCCACTGCCAGTAGTAATACAGAAGATCAGTCATTCTAAGCCCATCCCCATTCGAAAGGTTGCTGACAGGGGAGATCTTAAAAGAACGCATAAGCAAATGCTGTTGGTTACCCACATGATCCCATCCCTTGCCCTTTTTCCTGATTTTGGCTGAGTGGGAACATGAATATGTTTTCTTAAGAGAAAAGAGCTTAGTCAGCAGCCATCCCCACACCCAACCTCCAAGCCTATTCCCAGAAGCTCTGCAGGAAGGAGGCTGGGAAGATACCAGCATTCCCATAATGATTAACCACCACAAACTCAGACAAATAAAAGCCTAGATCCCTGAAGTACAACGGCCTGTTAGGACGTGAACTTTGGGATTTGCTCAAGGTAATAAGATAGATTAATACTCTAATCCAATTTATATAGTAAGCAACAAAGAGGTTCCTTGGTACAATAAAAAGTGGACTGTTGCAAGGGAGAACTTGGGATTCTACATGGGGAATACTAATTATTCCTGGCAGCAGCTTATCTTCCAAGAGCTAGACAATGGATTCCACATGACAATGTATAATTGAATGAAAATTCCAGGCACCTCAATGACAGGAAATGCAAAATATCCAAATCTGAGAAATTCAAATTTGGTTGCTTTCAAATAAAGGCTATGAAAATTACTGTATTTTTCCAATGGTTTACATATTCTGAGATGCTATGGTTTCCACATAAATTATGGCTATATCACAGCTGGGACACTTCACTTTCATTTATGTTTTAGGAATCCATTTCTTCTCCCTGGCATATCACAATGTCACCCTGTTTAACCTTGAATTCCACTCCGCGTACCACATCTTTTGCAGAAAAAAATTCAGATCAAGGCAAGCTAGTAAAAATGCAGGCATCCACTGTCTTTTTTCCAAAATGGATATGATTTCAGATTTCCCACCCTAAATTCTCAGAATACAGGAAAGACAGGACTGTTTCATTAATGGGAGGATTCTTCCCTTCAGGCATCCATCATTCTTAAATGTCACTGGAAAATTGGCAGATTCAGTTCAGTACCCAGATTGTTATTTGTCAGATGCCCTAACTGGCCTTTAGATCCCATTCAGTCGCTACTTTCTTACATGGTAACACAATTTCCTGCTTTCCCAACTGACCACATCACAGTAACAGGAAATGAAGAAATTGTAGTAAAACAAATTACAAAGTCAGTAATGAATTGAACAATTCCCATACATCTTCTTCCCAAATTTAGTTCTATATAGTTCCTATTTTCTACTGTCTTTCCTATATGGAGAAATACTTTTGATTTTGACATGGCCATCTTTTTTTTTTATTTTCTTCCTCTGTCTTGTTGTATTGCTGACATGTTTTTATCTTTTGTATTGGATTTATTTTAAGCTATTTTTTTCTATGTAAGACACTGAGAGTTGCAGCGGTATCTAAATGCATTCAATGAACAAATAAACAAACAAACAAATAAATAATGGTGCTCTAGTTTCATTCATGTTATGGTTCCTATATGTCATATTCCTGACCTAAATATAAAATTATCAGAATAAACTAATTATCAACAATAAGCCAGTGGTTTTGCTGCCACTCATTAGTTCAGGAACAGTAAAGTATTTACATCTATCCCTGTGGCTTAAAGTTCTTACTTGAAATCCTTTGTTAATCTCTACTCTAAGACAGGCATCTTGGAAATGTACCACATAACCTACCTCAAAGGGCTGTTTTTGTTGTGGGGAAAACAGAAGGAGGAAGGAGAGTTATGTATGTTTGTTGTCTTGAATTACTTATAAAGTAATAAAGAGAGGATAAAAAAATTAACAATAAATAAATACATCAAATGACTGTGGCCTTTTCCTAGCCTTTTTAAATCTACAATTCATAATCAAATCATCCAGCTGGGCTTCCAGACAAAGACCTGGCATGGAAATTATCCAAGGAACATTCTTCAGAGCAGATACAGATAGATGCTTAAAAGAGAATTAAGTCCAACTCAAGCTTTGATAAAATGTTCAGCCACTACAAAGCGTAAGCGAAAGTCCTTTACCTAGAATGTCTCACCTTTGGCATGGAAAGTCCATCCACTCCTGGTATATTCCTGCAGCTGAACTCTCTCCTCCTGACCTAGGCCGCACACCTTGCTGAAGAATTGCTGTTCAATGTAAACATAGGCAGCAGGGATGGCACCTGCCACCCCTTTGGCTCCAAAGAACCCATTCACCTCCGGTGAGGCTAGTAGAATCTGGAATTTTGCCCGCGTGCCTAGAATCAGATCTACATATGTTTTTGTGAGGTTAAAATAACCTGTGGTGAGGTATATGCTGGCACCCTGCTCTGCTTCCATAAGGAGGGTCTTCGTGACAGCCTCATCTATCCGAATCCCAAACGGCTTCATCTGTATTAGTGGATAAATCCATGTATCTGGTTCTGATTGCCCATCACCAACTGCCTTTGGATCACAGGATGAGATTTCTCCTTCCATACTGTTGCTATAGGAAGTCTGAGTGTGCAATTGTTCTTGTTTGATCCTGGCGGAATTGATCACTTCCATCACTCTCTTATTTGCCATCTCATAATAGGCCATCTTGTCTCCTAAGAAAATAAATGTGTGATTTAATGAAATATAACATTACCTTTATGAAATTTATCAAGAGATCAGAATAGTAGTAGCTGGTTGCTTCCTGCAGGCCAGGAATTATGGAAGTCAAATTAACCTAAAACAGTGGCACTTAAAACAGGAGGAATTACACTCAAAGAGGTATCTGGACATATCATGGAGCAATTTGTAACTGCCTGTTTGTGAGCCAAAGGTCCAGTTGGAATGACCCTTCCAAGACAACAGAGGGTGGGGATTGGGGAAGGGGTATTGACACTGAAACCAGGAAAGAGGTAATTGGACCAAGCTGTTTAAGAACCACTGAACCAAATCACGAAAAGGTATAAGTTTCCCAAAAGAGGTTTTATCCAAATATATACCAATATACCATTTCATTGATGGCCATAAGAAAGGATTTGATGTATTTTTCCCTAAATATACGGACTTACCTTCTAATCTTTCTGCATTTACTGTTAAGATAGAATCTTAGGTAGGCAAACTGCATGTTTTTAGTTTGAATTGAAATACAGAACAACTTCTCAAATTCAAATTCAAATCCTTTATTGTCAAAGTACGACATGTGTACACAACGTGCTGGCCCCACGGGTCTATCATACATGGAGTTATTTTCCATTCAGGAGTCTGACAGCCCATGGGTAGAAACTGTTCTTCAGTCTGTTGATGCGGCTGGCTATGCTTCTATATCTCCTACCCAATGGCAGGAGAGTAAAGAAGTGCTGACCAGGGTGTGAGTCGTCCCTGAGGATTTTCCTCACTCTTCTAAGGCAGCGGGCCCTAGTGATGGCGTCTAGTGGTATCAGGGGACAGCCCACGATGTTTTCTGCTGTGCTCTTGTAGAACTGTAAGTAATCTCTTCTCACTGAAAAAAGGATAAATCTTTCCAACCCATATTAGGATTCTAGTGACCAGGACCTGATTAATGAAACTGGAAATCTACCCCTATTACCAGTTTCTCGTTCTTTCTCACTTTTTTTTTTTTAAAATAATACTGCTTATTATTTAATTTTCTTTATTCCTACTATTAAAAGCTTATTGCTATGACTAATGGTATTGGGAGGCCCGCTTTCTCAAATAATCTTCTGTAAAACATAGCAAAGGACGTCAGTCACCCACCTTAACATGGACATCCTAAACTCTAGAAAACAAGTAGTTAGTTGCAAATTATTTACTAATTTAAGCTAGCTTGTGACCAGCAAAAATAAATTGAGGTGAAACTGATGCAAAGTAGGAGAAATAACATTTTCTTTGAGAGTACAAAAGCAAGACATTCTTCAGATCCTTTGCACACCAATCAACCCACATATATTTCCTATAAAGCAGACAGGAAAATAAAAAAAAATATGGTGAAGAAAGTAAATGCAGCTTCTTACATTCCCATCTTCAATTTTTATTTTATTCACTATTTATACAAATGTTACAAGTCATGCACTTCCAAGGACCTAGGTAGTTTGCGAACAAAATAGCAAAAAGACAAGCAAGCTACTGCGTTTTGAATCAGAGCATCTTCAAAAACAGTGTAGCAGGGGTAGTCAACCTTGGCTCTTTTATGACTCGTGGACTTCAACTCCCAGAATTCCTGAGCCAGCACAGCTGGCTCAGGAATTCTGGGAGTTGAAGTCCACGAGTCATAAAAGAGCCAAGGTTGACTACCCCTGGTGTAGAGTGTACATGCAAGCAGTAATAAAGCATGAGTTAATGTTGCTAGGGTCTCCCAGTGTAGGAAGACCAACAACTGGCATAACAACTAGAGCTGGTCAAAGTCCTCTGGCTGTAGCCTCTACCAGTTGCTCTAAGCCCAAAGGACCCCCTAATGCTCTTTAGGAAAAACATGGTCTTGTCTATCAGATAAAGTCCGACCCACAACAGAGCCAGATCAGCCACCAACACAAACTGTCAGTGTTTGTAACATGTTTTACTTGTTAGATTGGTTAAATTGCATCCATTAATAATGGCAATGGGATATAAGAATGATATGATAAATGAAATCTGGTTCTCAACTAAAGAATTGTGAATTTATTCAATTAATTTTTGTTAGGTGCTACTTTACCAAAGAATTAGGTTAAAGAAGAAAAGCAGAGGCACCAATAACTGAGGCATATGGGGCATAGTGGGAAGAATGTCTCTTCCTCCTGCCTTGACACGACTCATTTTCCAAGTTTTGATTATCAGGAATGGGTGAAACAATTTAGCCTTATCCAATCCTTAGATCTCTTGCAGAGACTCTTGACTTCCTTAGCGAAGGTAACAGAATAAAGCTGAAATGCTACTTTGTGACTCTTATGGACTCTGGGATTTGTGATTTAGTGTGATTAATTGAATTTACAGGTTCTTTCAGCTGGTGAAAATAAAAGAGGCCCCTATCTGATACCCTGCTGTCTCTCTGTCTATCTAATTTGGCATCTCACCAAAGGGAACTCTGGGCAGCACACAATAGATAAACCACACAATAAATGAAAATGTAAGCTACGCAAATACCCCAAACTGGAAAAACTACTAAAGTGACATTCATGCCACGTACCTCTTCCATTTAATGAACATAATTTACTATGTGCAAATAATAAAAAAAAAAGGCTCCAGTGATTTTAGTGAGACGGGAATTTATAGCAGTTAAGAAGCTGTCAGCTAAGATGCATGTCAGGTACATTCTTCTGTGCCTATTTGGCTAATTCAGGATATGCTCATCCACATAACAAACATCGGAGGGCAGTCCAGTCCCCCTTTACCTACTCCCAGAGTATTTGCTTTTGTTACCTGATCTAGAAATCACAGCAACTGGCTTGCCGGGAAGGACTCTCAACAATTGGTATTGCTTGGAAAATACCTCCCAAGGGAAAACGACACCCAGTGACTTATGCTCTGTATTAAAGATTAGCTTTCCAGGTTGTAACAAAGAAAGACTATTCCCCAGATCAAAAAAAAATATGCCAGTGAGTACAAATAGCATCCACCCATATGAGCATTCATGCAACATTTTAAAGCACACGTTATACAACAGCGCTTGGAGTTCTTTGCTTTTCATATTCAGGAAACACCACAAAGTTACTCAAATTATTTACCAGCATGGAAATCATTAGAATGTTTAATTTTAGCCTCACAATCTACAGAACCATGTCAGCTTAGCCAAAGCCCCTGGCTATAAAAGATGAATGCAAAATTTTATTGTGGACTCAACATTGTTTTAAATGGTTTTTGTTTTTTTGTTTTAATATTGTGGTTTTTATTCTTGACTGTCATCCAGAGTTCCTCCTGTTTAGTCATCATCATAAAATTTAATGACACCTGTTGATAAATTCCTTCCATCATTGTTCCTCCTGTCTCAAAGGTTGCAACCCTAAAGTATATCAATTGGCAATTGTATCTGTAATCCCAGTAATTCCAGTAAGCATGGAAATTCCTTCTAGCTAAATGAAAATGCTACCTCTTTCCATCCCCATTCCCCTCTTACAAAAGAATTTCCCCACCAACGAAAAAGGTCTCTCCTGAGATCAGGCTAAAAGCAGATTAAAAAGGAACCATAACTCCATTTTTTTCAGTGTATACTTTACAGAAAGGTGCTTTCAGATTCCATCCTTAGGAATATAAAAGAAGATCAACATGGTCTACTGGGCCTGGCAGAGGTTTCCTAGCTCTGATTTCAGAGATCCTTATGAATCCAGGATACTGGTATCTGGAATGCATATTAAAAGGTAGTCTGGATTGATATCAGTAACAGGCTTTTCTGACATTATGTTGACTATTGTTTAATTTTATTTGATTTAATAAGTTATATATTTTAACTAAATTTTATAAGGTCTAGTTTATCCATTCTTCTTACTGAAAAATGCCTACCTGTTGGTACTCTACTACTTCCTTAGAATTAAAAGTGCCTAGGTTTTCATGTGTCTACTTTGTATTTTTGTATTAATATCCCTTTAGTTTTATACCACACTTAGTTTTTAAACATATTCTATATTAATTATACTTAAACATCATAATGATTATATCAATTAAATATTATATTAATATATTACAGCCATAATTAATATAACTTATATTGTCATCCTCCTCCTCTCTAGAGCCTCTCTATCCAGAAAGATAGTATTTATTTTCCTTTTGAAAATATTTGAGAGCACCATGTTTGTATTCTCACCATGTTTGTATTCTATAGGCATACCTCTAAACATCTGGAAGAACGCCAAGAGAAGTTCAGTTAGGAGCAAGAAAACGCAACTGAATTCTGGAAAGGTACAAGTATATATATACATACATATATACATACACACACACACACACACACACACACACACACACACACATATATATATATATACACGCACATGTATACATACATACATACATACATACATACATACATACATACATACATACATACATAGAGTCCTTGACTTACAACAGTTCATATAGTGACCATTCAAAGTTACCAGGGCACTGAAAGAAGTGACTTAACCATTTTTCATACTTACAACCTTTGCAGCATCCCCATGATCATGTGATCAAAATTCAGATGCTTGGCAACTGGTTCGCATTTATGACGGTTGCAGTGTCCTGGGGTCATGTGATTCCCTTTTGCGACCTTCTGACAAGGAAAGCCAATGGGGAAGCCAGATTCACTTAACAACCAGATTATTAACATTAACTGCAGTGGTTCACTTAACTACTCACGTAACAAATGTCTCACTTAACAACAGAAATTTTGGGCTCAGTTGTGGTCAAGTCAAGGACTAACTGTATGTATAATAAATTACTTGCTAAATACCTCCCCAAAATCTCAAATTATGGCAATATAGAAAATAAAGTGATACATGGCCATCCTACCTTTGTAAGGATGGACCATCCCATCTATAGTTTTGACTGTGTCATCTTGCTGTAACTGTAAAGATACATCCCCAACTGCATTTACTAGCTCAGTGAAGAAATCTGCAATCTCTGGTGAGTCTTGCAGGAAGACGTAACGGTCTTGTCGATTGCTGAAGTAAGAGTCACTTAAGTTGGCTCTGGAGAAGGAAAATAGGGTGGCAGTTAAGAATGCCAAATGATAGCATGTAAATCATATTCAGCTCACATACATTTGACAGTTGAGAAAACAATAGAAAGGAAGGCATGTAAGATTAATCAACATATGAACATTGACATCGCCTTCCTGATACATTTCCCCATTTAAACTTTGGTTAAACGCAAATGAATTGTAGAATGCTTATTCAGAATCACTTCATAGAAACAGTCCAAAAATGGCAAATTGCAGAACAGAACTATGACACAGATTCCAGAATATGCAGAATGATTCCCTAATACAATCTGGTTTAATTGATTGCCTTCTTTCTTTCTTCTGGATTCTGGAAACCACAGAATTCTTCCATGTGCCCCAATGCTATTTCCTTATAAAGAGGAACTCACCCACTCAAGATCACATTATCATCAAAGAGATAGACTTTGATATGCTGCAACCCGATGGTCTCATTAAAACGCTCAGGAATTAGATGTCTGAGAAGACCACGTAGCTTAGGAGTGTGGAAGAGAGAGACACGGACCTTATCTGGAAATCGCCTCAGGAGTGGAAGCAGCATGGTTCGAGAATTCTTCTGGCCTTGGGAGGGGGAGGGAAACAGATTTGATGGGATTACAGTAATACAGAATATCTGCTCCAATCCACTGTAAGAATTAGAAAACCTTAACGTTCAGGAGATGCTGGAAACGTTTATGTATAAAATGTCTAAATAGGTTGTTCATCAGCTGCAGAGTGACAAAAAAAAAATCACCACTTATCTCTCTAGAAACACATGTTAGAAGACATTTTGTGTCACGTCTAGTTGTTTTGGATTAATAACCAGAGAATTAAGTGGACAATGATTGTACTAGGCCAGGGGTAGGCAACCTCAGCTCTTTTATGACTCGTGGACTTCAACTCCCAGAATTCCTGAGTCAGCATAGCTGGGAGTTGAAGTCCAAGAGTCATAAAAGAGCCGAGGTTGCCTACCCCTGTACTAGGCATATATGCTTTGGCTCATTTCCATCTCTAGTAATCAAGAATAGTAGTTAAGATTATGATTAAGCATTTTTCTGATCTCCCAAAGATGGACCTAATAGGAAGATATTAACTTCACCTCCTCCAGAGGCCAGGCCTTAAAGCATGTCTTTATTTTACAGAGGCAACTCTCTGCCTTCAGCTGCAAGTTCTGACTCCTCCTTTATTGTATATTTCACATAACAGCAAAATACTTGCATTTTTCCATCAAGGACACTTTCATTACTACCTATAACTAGCCTATACTTTTGGAAGCAGCCAGCAACACAATGTCATTCACTGAACTGTTGCTTTGACACACTACAGATCTCTGCATGGAAAACCTGAGTCACGCACTTCTTGTCTTCTGGTAACTGCTCAAGACACGAACTTACTTTTATTCTTAGGAAATATCAGCAGCAAGTCATGCAAGAGGAGTAGAGATATCTCTTAGAACAAAATCAAAGAATTTGGTCATCAGCAAGATTGGTGGTTGTGTAGCTGTGAGGCCAAGATCAGAAGTCATTCACAGTAGCTGTTCTACATAAGGGAAGATTTTTTGGAGGGGGGGGAAAGGGTACCGGTCTCTGACTGGTCTGGTGAGGAAGATGCACCAGTAAGAAGGAGTCAGATCTGAATCTGAACCTCAATACGAAGTATGAGAATTAGCTAGTAAAAGAAGAGGCACTGAGGCTGTTGTCGTGGCACAAGGTCTAAAGTGGATGCAATATGAATAAAGAACTATTGAGACAGGTTGGAGGTATTTTCAAGTCCAAGAAAACAGAATGCATAGTGGAACCAAAGGCAAAATAATGAGAGAAAGAAATAGTGCAGTACCTCTGAAAATGGAGAGTATCAGATCTGCTGCCCAGATGGACTCGGTGGATGGCCATGAAAACAATTAAAACTAAAGGAAGGTTTCAAAGGGGCAAATAAAAACATCACTGAAAAGAAAATCCATGGATTTTGACATGTTCTGAATGTGTTTTTTTGTTTTTTTGTATTAGAAACAAGGAAAAAGCAACTCAACAACACAGAAAATATTCCTGATTATATCAAGCAGTAAAAGAGGAGCTGAGGAAAACCAGCAGGCTAATAATACCTAAGTGGGAAGAGATAGGGTTCCTATCAATTTAGCTCAGCTGGGGAATGCTCCAAAACACTTAATTTGGCAGATACAGACTCCTCAACAGGATGCAGAGACCGAGGAAAATTAACATTATTCTACACAACAAAATAGGAAGACTTGAAAAGGCAAGACTTACTTTTTAGTGTGTCAAAAAAAAAAAAAGTACCAGGAATATCTTGCCTGGGTTTTAAATTAAAAGAATCTCTGATTTTTATGGTTCGTGTTTGCAAAATAAAACTACAGAGATACAAAGACAGAAAGGGCTTGAAATCTACAGAAGAACTGAACTTAGTTTTTGAGCACTGGTTTCAGACAAAGGTCCAAATTCTTTGATCTGCAGAATTATTTAAACCCAGTTCTTATATCAGAGGTTCCCAACCATATCAGTCTATCCCAGCTAAGTGAAAAGAGTTGGTCAATGAATACGTATATACCTACCTCGGGATCCTCTTATGAAGTCTAACAGGATGGACACTCTAAAATTGGGACTCCCACATCCCTTCAATGAGCTTTCCAAAGCTATTTCAATACAATCCACCTACAAGAAGAAAACATACACAAATGCACAAGACAGCCTTCCTTCCTTTCAAGTATACTAAGTGTTGGGAAGTGAAGTGTGCATAAAATAAAACAAATGTCAGATTTACACAGAACTTCGACTTGGGAAGCATCAGTGTTTTCCTAATTCTAAGTTTGTTTCTCCTATCACAGATATATTAACAACTCACGTACAAAAATATAAGAGTGACTCTCTGGATTAAGAGGTCTGAAGCAAGAGCTCCTAACCCTCCAACAAAAAAAACTAAATCTAAGGCATCTCTTATCTAGCTATTTAGTAAAAAGGCTCCAATCCCTCCTTCCCATTTTAGATACTTACTAATTCCTGTTCCAAAGATCCTGTTCCAAGATACAGGGAAGCTAAAACAATTCGTTGCTTAGCCATCTTTGCCTGTCCCTGAAAGAGAAAAACATTTAGATGTGCTAATAAGTCTATCAAATGAAGCATCCAAGTACAGATAGTTCTTGACTTATGACAATTGCGCCCAAAATTTCCGGCACTAAGCAAGACAGTTGTTAGGTGAGTTTGCCCCATTTTACGACCCTTCTTGTTACAGTTGCTAAGGGAATCACTGCCCTTAAGTTAGTAACACAGTTAAGTGAATCTGGCTTCGCTGTTATCTTGGAACAGGATCCTTGGCACAGGAATTGTTTGTCAGAAGGTCGCAAAAGAAGATCACCTGACCCCAGGACATCGCATCCGCATAAATAAATTTTGATCACGTGACCATGTGGATTCGGCAATAGCCGTAAGTGTGAAAAACTATCATAAGTCACTTTTTTCAGTCCGTTGTAACTTCAAACGGTCACCAAAAGAATGGTTGTAAGTCAAGGACCACCGGCATCTCCTACAGGACACCCAATACAGCACTTAATTTTAGAAGAATCAATAAAGCTGAAATTTACCTGGAAAACTATTAAAACCTTTTTGCTCACAACTGGACTGAGAACAAGTTTCTTGGTTGCAAGTGAGTCTCTCTCTCTCTCGTCAACCAGAAGGTCAAGAGAGAGGTAAGACTGCTAATACTGGAGAGGTGATGCTCTTTCATCACTTTCAATTATATACAAACTGACGTTTTTCTGTTCTAATATTATCCCCCAAAGGAGGTTTGAAAGTCATTAATGTACTGAATTAAATACAATCACTCACATTTTAAAAATTACTTTAAACATCCCACCTTTATAAACTTAGAAGAACCTACTTCTTGCTAGAAACTGGGGGGCGGGGGGAATGAACATTTAATTTTGGATTTTTTTTTGTTGCTGTTTTTTACATTTTATGCTGAAACTTAATGAAAACATTGAATGAATGAATGAATGAATGAATGAATGAATGAATGAATGAATGAATGAATAAAGTAAGTTAGCAACACCCATATTGCTGGCAGATGTAGTCCAATACTTTTAAGCAAGGGTCTTTCTCTGCCCAGTTACCTGATTTTTCTATGTGGAAGTGTCAGGGGTTGAACCTGACACATTAAAACAAGCATAACACTGAGATTACAGGACTTAGCTTTTCATGTCTCACAATATTCACAGAAATTTACACTAGTTGACAAAAGGATTTTTTCTTCTTCAGTCTTAGAGTTGAATATAGTAAGTAATTCACCAAGGAATGGTAAGGTAAAATTACTTTAACCTATAAGTCTGAAAAGACTTTTTAGAACACAATAGAACCACTGAATTCTCCTGTCATGTAGTATAAACAAAATCTGTGACAAAACATGCAAGAGAAAAATATTGAGATCACCTTCATAAGTTCATAGAATTCAGCTGGGGATGAAAGCACCTTGATGTGGGAGCCAGCAATACCAAATTCTGGAACCAAGTTTCTGATCCATTGAAAAATATGTGTTCCCTCAGGGCTAAAGCAATTGGTGGGAAGAGTCAGTTGTGGAACCGCAGAAGTGAGTAATGGAGCCAACAGCAGCCATGATGACCTAATATGAAAAAGAGATTAGCTTAGCAACATATATGGTTTTCCCTTAAAGCCTGTAGATATATGAGGAAGGAGATATAATCAAGTCCTAAGCACTACAGGTCCATCTTTCACCTATATTACAGGTGAGAACTAAGTAATTACATATTTAGCAATTTCCCATCAAAATGGTTAAAATAAATAAATAAAATTGGCACCTTGCAAAATGAAAAAGCAACACAAAACCATATAAAAATTATTAAAATAGCCAGTTTAGTTAAGATGCTAGACTAGAAACTGAGGGACTATGAATTCTAGTCCCCCTCCATAGGCATAGAAGCCAGCTGGGTGACTTTAGTCATTCTCTCTCACAGTCCAACCACCTCAGAGTTGATGTTATGGGGGAAATAGGAAGAGAGGGCATTATATATATAGTTATGTATATACATACACTTATATATATATCAGACTGACCTGAATAAAAATAGGATAAAAGTCAAATCAATCAAATTAACAAAAAATGTTCCATTAGCTTTTGAAATTCATTCCTAAGTGAGTAGACTGCTCTCAGCCAAGTCCCTTCATTGACTTCAGATGTCTTTCTAGAATAAATGTGATTCTGAATAAGAGTATGCAATCTTTTCTGATTTGCCACATGTGACAGGGCTATATTGTTTAAATAGAAAAGCACCACAAACCCACACATTGGATTCAGTTCCAAACACGTAATTTGGAATGTGCAGGAATACAAATACATTACCTCTCTGCAGGCTTTTAAAGCAGCCACACCTTTTCCCAGGACTATGCAACTGTGTTCTTCAAGTATTTTGTGATCCCAGGAAAAGATGCAGCAACCTTACAGAATTATAGACCAGTGCCCCATTCACATTCCTTGTTGCACAACCTACTCTTGTTGGAGGATTGAATCACTATGTTCTCACATGCTAAGCCATAGTTGGCTAGCTTGATTGAACTATAATGGTTAGATTCTCAAAACATTTCAAAGTTAAACCAAATTAATCTTAATGGCTTGGGATGATGTACAAAACTAATCAAGGGCTGCAAACTTCAGTGGGCAAATTTGGATTCTTAATATTAAATGCATATAATTTCTAAATTACCAAATTATGTTTTATATTTAACTATTATTTTAACCCATTATCCTGTATTTCAAGTTTTTCTTTATGTGAGCATCTGTTTAAAATTTTAATAAACTACCAGTGAACCTTGAAGAGGCAAATCTAACTGTAGATAGCCAGTTTCTAACCTTTACCATTTTTACAGGCTTGACTAATATTTGTCTATTATAACATGAAAAAAAAATCAAATGACCTTAAAGGAAATAAATTTCTCCCCAAGTCATTTTTACATTACTATATATAATCAAAGTATTTCTAACACAGAAACCATCGCTTCACTTGTCATCCTGGTCTCACACTGCTCCGTGGCCGTGGTTTGCCCCATTCCCCCTCTCAAAGCCCTCAAAAGCTTGAGCAGAACAGCATTGTAGGAGGAACTTTTAATTATGAGGAACTCTCAGTCCAAAGTGCAAATTGACCACAGGTGCCAGGAAGATGATTTCACTTGTTTCACAGAAAAATGTTAAATCTTTACAAGGTTTGCATGCATCCTTCCCCCTTATCCTCCAGCAAAAAACAAACAAAAAACAAAACCAAAAATGGTTTGCCACTGCATTTCCCAGAAAGCCCACCGCTTTGTCATTGCCTATTCATACAATGGAGATCTGACTCAGTGTGTACAAGAATTCCTAGCTACTCTGTTTTTCAACAGTTTGTGGGGACTGGGCATTTCTTTGGCAATACTGAATTACAGTAATCTGGAGGGAAAGTTGCCATTATCCTGAGCTTAAAAAGAGAACTTTGTAAATTACTTCCCTAATGAAATCTTCGAATATGCAATCAAAAGGCAGCAAAACAGCAATGTCCTATTGAGGTTTAACCAATATTAAACTAAACCAGTGGTGGCGAACCTATGGCACGGGTGCCAGAGGCGGCACTCAGAGCCCTCTCTGTGGGCACGCACGCCGTTGCCCCAGTCCTAGGCCTTCAGCTGGGTTTTATAAAACCTTTTCGCTTTAGGCCTCCGCCGCCATGTGCAAAAAAAAAAAAAAGGTTCAATCAATCAATCAACTTCTCGCGGGGAAAAAAAGATCTTGCAAAGTTGGAATTGATTGATTGAACTTTTTAGTCCCACCCAGTCTGCCGTTACCACCACGGGCATGCCCACCCAATGGGCCACACCCAGTCAATGGGCCACACCCATCCAGCACCCGACAATGCATCAGTGGGTTTTGGGCACTCGGTCTCTAAAAGGTTTGCCATCACTGATCTAGACTATCGTAATAAATGTAGGGTATTTAAAAAAGTCATTGTTTACATGTAAAAAGTAACTTTTCAAATGGCCTATTAAACATATTGATAAATAAGCTATTCCAACTTCTAGTTCTACAATTAGAATTCATGGAATCGTATCTACATTTACTGGTTTACAAGAAACAAAATCACATTATTTGTGCACTTACATTTATATAACATAATCAATATTTTTCTTTCAATAAGTCATACTAGTGCCTTCCCTCTTTCCTCTGAAGCCATCAATCCTCTGATTCATATATATACATTGATAATGGACTTGCATTTAGGACAATTCACAGTATTATCATTAGCCTACATTATAACTGGAATTACAAAATAACTGCTACTTTAGAGTGCGTGTGTGGGGGCGGGGTATAGATCCTATCAGTTATCAGAAATTAGCCTAGTTATATCTGATTCCAAAACACCATTTCAATGTTCTTTCCCATGAAACAAAGAACTATAATATTTTTAAGCTTCTCTGTGATTCAAGAATCATCCACCATTGTTATCTGGCATGAAGTAGTGTTATACAACTCTTTTTTTAAGGGAATAGCAGCCTTGAGGTACCCACGGTTATTTGTGAAAATTTAAATACAAAAATGCTATTGATTTTCTTCTTGTAAAGAAACTATTTCTGCCAGATTACACTCAGAGAAACTGAAGTATTTAAAAGAACATACAAGTATGCCAAATATTTAGCCATTCTGGCTCTTAGATACACCTTTGAAATGGCATTAAAAAAAACTATTATAGTCTATTTCAAATCAAAGTAGAAAACAACTATGCAGTAGCGCACATTAAAATCAACATTACCTAGAAAGGAAAATGAACTGAAAACCATACCTTTCTTTTCTGAATTTGACTTTCTACTATTAATAAATCTGGGGATTTTGGAATCTATTCTTAGGAAATGGGATTTTGACTAATATTAGGAATGAATTCAAAGCACCATAATACTTGTTATATTGCAACAACTTTACCAGAGGCAAAGAGAGATTAACAGGATATTTCTCATGGTATTTATCACCCACACATAAGCCACATTAGAGAAACTTCTGCTAATGACTCTTGTTTCACTGGAATGCCTGAGTGTGTATTACAGTATTTCTGCATATGTTATGACTGAATCTGGGAAATCAATTTTATTGTTAACATACTGATGCCAACGAACAATAAGGACTCAAGGGTAACTTCCTTAAACAAGAGGCTGAGGGTGGACATGTGGCCCCAGATTATCAGTCTGCCCTTGTTTCAACTGAATCATGCTTACTGGATATTACATATTGCTTAAGTCTACATCTTTCTGGATGCTATCTGACTTGTAAGAACTAAAAAACAAAGTGAAATCAAAGAGGAAGCTGTTCTAAAAACAAATTATCATCTGGTAAATACAAAACTATATTAATGAAATATAAACTATTTTACAACTGTAGCATCAATTCTCCAAAAACTCATAATGCATGAGTACAATTTGCACTATTGAATTCCTGAAGTCTAAAGTTGTCATCTGACTTAAATTTAGAACAAAATTAATATTACTATATACAATGAACATATACTCTAAAAGGAATTGGCTGTATTGTATGACAGAATCTGACTGTATTGTATGATAGAAAAGAATATGCTTATTAAATAGAAGGCAAAGTCAATGGGGAAGCCAGGTTCACTTAACAACCAGGTTACTATCTCATCAGCTGCAGTGATTCACTTAATAACTGTGGCAAGAAAGGTCATAAAATGGGGCAACACTCACTTAACAAATGGCTCACTTAACAACAGAAATTTTGGGCTCAATCGTAGTCATAAGTCGAGGACTACTTGTATTAGAAGATCAGACTGCTAGGTATCTTGGTGCTCCCTACTCCAATTTGTGTGTAATCTATTCAACCACTTTTACACAATTATACTCTTTATGACTTGGGACTCACCCAGTTAGAATATTTATAAATGCAAAAACATTGTTTATTGTTTCCATAGTATACAGCTTTTAGAAAAAATGTTTGTTTTCAAAATATTGAGTTTTACTACACATAAATGAGCTGGCAAGGACATAGAACATATGCTGAGAAAATAAAGAACTTATGTGAATGCAACACACTTCCTGTAACACCAGCAAGTAATTTTTCCCAGATAATGCAAGACAAAGCATCAAAGACTATTCAGAAATCTTTCCTCCTTGCATTTTGAGAAAAAAGGAACTAGTTCAGTATGTGCGTTTTATGTGGTACAAAACATTTTTGCATATAGTATATTTATAAGCCAAATAACCCAGCAAGTCAAACTACTTTTCAGCTGCTGATAGTGAAACAGAAGTTAAGGGAGTCAAATTTTTCTAAATGTCACTTTCTATCTAGACCACAGTGCTGATCACGAAAGTTAAATAAATTAAACACCTTCGCTTATTTAAAAAACTAGCATTATTACAAATGCAAATGTGATGAAAAGCTTGTACATGTTATACTTAGGTGTTAG